GGTGTAGTGAAGGGTTAACCTTCTGTGTCTCGAGGCTGAGAGGAGGCGCTTACAAGGGAAGTAAGCCAGGACGTGACGAAAACAGCTTGGAATGCTGTAAGCTGAGTGAAAAGTGAAAGCAGCTTTGTTACGCAGCTGCAAGCTGAGAGAGAGTCGCAAAATGCAGCTTGAATCAGATGGACTGTAAATATGCTATTTTTGAGCAAATAAAGTGCTACTAGGAAAGAAGAAACGTGTGGGACCTATTTACTGACTGCCCTTTCTAAACGGACGCTGTGAAATTCTGCTAATTGCTTTACGACCTGCAGAGGCACGCAGGGGGAAGTGTGCTGGACGACAAGAGTAAAGCAATAAATCTATCCTAACATGGTTATGGGTCAACGTGAAGCGTGTGAGGAAGGGCTTTGAAGCTTTATCTGCTGGTCGCCAGCTTGATCGACTGCCGGAGACTTCAAAGAGGCAGATCGGAGGAGGCTGACGGAGAGGGAGCAAGAGCCATGACGTCCGGAGTACCCAGTTTGGCTGAGTGAGTACCTTTGGGAAAAGCCAACAGAAGGGAGGGCAATGGCTCAGCCCTGTGAGCATGGCTTTGAGCTTAAACTGCCATGTCAGAGACTGACTAGCCAAAATTGGCTGCAGTGGAGCTTTCAAGTGGAGCTTTTGCTGGTGGGGGAGCAGCTGTGGAATGTAATTCACCCCCCACAGAATGCAGCTGGGAAAGCAGAGGCTAAGAGGGCTGCAGAGCAAAGTGAAGTGGAGAAGCGTGTGATTGCTTTTTTGGCAGAAAGTGTGGATGCTCATCTGGTGCCTGTTGTCCTGGGTGCAAGAAAGCCAGAGGCCGCTTGGCTAGCACTCCAAGAAGCTTGTGGAGCTAGAGTGGGAAGCAAGGGCCGAGAAGGGGCTGCATCTGAAAGGGAGAGGCAAGATGGCGCCGGCCACATTCTTGAGTGCCGATACACAGCTGGGCGGAGCTGTGAGCCCCCACAGGGGGGCGAAGGGACTGTTCCTGTTGCTGTTGTTGTTGCTAGCAATGCTGCTTGTGCTTTTGCTGAGCCTGGGAGCTGTGTGGATGCTGCAACGTGTCTGTGTGAAGAACCTGGAGAGAGGCCAAGTGTTGGGAGCCCTTTACCCTTCAGAGGGGGTGCAGGAAAACGTCCTCAAGACCCCATGAGCAGTGGGGGGGCAGTGAGCAGTGAAAGCTCAGAGACGCCTCTTTCTCCAAAAGCTGCCAAGAGTTGTTTACGTCGTGAGTCGAAGCCTGGGAAGCTGAAAAGTGCTAGAGGTTTCAAGGTCAGCCACCTGCAGCAAGTAGAGAAAAGCGCTTCAGAGTTGTGTGGGAACGCCGAGACAAGTCCAGTCTCCATGGCAACTGAGAGAGTTGCATCTACGGAAGCTGTGAAGGTCGTGGGCGAGTCTTCCTGCCGGGGAGTCTGTTGCCATGACAACCAGAGGACATCTGCAGGAGCCCTAGGGAGGGGTAGTGAGGAGATTGTTGCCCTGGCGACCCAGGAATGTAAACAACAAGACTTTCTCACTGTAATAATAGACTCTGGTGCCTCAAAATTCGTTCAGTGCCATCTGCTGATCTTTTGAGGAATTGCAGGACAGTAAAAACTGAAAAGTTTGTTAAGTTTGCAGATGGGAGCAGAAAAAGGCTAACAGAAACAGGACTGTTCTTCTGTTCTTTCCTTAAGCATGAAGTCAACGCTTATGCAGTGCCCGGTTTAACTAACTGTTTGTTAAGTGTGCATGATCTATTGATTGATAATTTTCAAATTTCTTTTGCAGGTGACAAATGTGAAGTTTCCAAGGATGGGAAACACGTGTACACAGTGCAGTCTAAAGATAGGATTTGTTTGCTGTAAATGTGCCTTCCTTTTCCACAGGAGAGGATGACACCGAGAGATGCGAAGGGCCAATGTGTGAATGTAGCACCCCACAATGGATTGTTTACATATTTGGCCACGGCCTTCGCTCATTTGAATTGGAAATTTCTCCAGAAAGCACCAGAGCTGACACAAGGGTGCAAATTTAATGTTTGTGACAAATTTTTAGATTGCAATGCATGTAAACAGGCGAAAGTTGTGACATGCTCATATCCAAAGTCAGAGAGGGCAGACCACGCAGCCCTTTGAATTAATTCATGCAGATTTGTGTGGACCCATGTCTGTTGAGGTCACTGGGAGGTTCAAGTATTCTTTGCTTTTGATTGATGATTTTTCGAGGTCTGCTTGGACCTTCTCTCTGAAAACGAAAGGGAGCGGCTAAAATGATCAGGGAGTTGGATCACCGCAGTTGAGAGTAACCTTTTCCACCAAAGTTCGTGGTTTTCAAAGTGACAGAGGTGCTGAATTCACTGGTTCTGCTTTACAGGATTTCTTTAGGGAGAAGGATTAGCCACAGACTGACCGCTCCTTACTCTCCGCAACAGAGTAGGGTCGCAGAGAGAAAGAACAGGACGGTGCAGGAAGCTGTGTCTGCGATCCTGTGGGGACGCAGGGCTACCCCAGAAATATTGGTCTCAGGCCTGGCACTATGTGGTCCATACGCAGAACAGAGTGTACAACTCTAGTGTAGGAAATACACCGTATTTCTTACTTCATGGAGAGAAGCCCAAGGTACACTAGCTTCGTGTGTTTGGTTGTGAGGCTTGGGTGCTTATTCCAAAGACTCTACGCAAGAAAGGTGAGCCAAGATCTAAAAGGATGATCTTTGTAGGGTATGAGCCTGGCTCAAAGGCCTGGCGGTTTGCATACCCAAGTGGAGACCAGTCTAGGTTGGTTATCAGCAATAGCGCTGAGTTCTGTGAGCAAGCTGGTTGGAAACGTCTGCACGCTAATCCAGACGTGCTTCCACAGCAGTTCTATGACTCAGATGTTGAGGAGGAAGAGGAACTTGGAGCTGGGGACCACGGTCCAGAGGAACAGAGTCCAAGGCAGGGACAGCTCAGGATCCCTCAGAGGGAACCTAGAACACCTCCTCAGGCAAGTGTCAAGTTTGAGCCAAAGAGTGAGCCTTCTTCACCTGCTGGACCAGCTGTAAGGCCCAAGAGGCGCAGCAGGTCAGAGGGGGGAAGACACTGAAGTTGAGGATGATTTAGCTGGACCCAGTGAAGCGGCAGGGTCACCAGGAGTCACACTGAGGAGATCAGCGAGGACCAGGAGGCCTCCTGATCGGTACAGGCGCTTCCAGGCGTCTGGGTAGGTTCTGCAAGATGTGAACCTGAATCCTTCGAGGATATTCAGAGTTTACCTGAGGAAGAAGCAGGCAAGTGGCACAGGGCAATGGACAAAGAGATGAAGTCCATGAAAGATCTAGGTGTGTTCTCACTCACAGAGTTGCCACCGGGGAAGCAGGCTGTGAGTTCCAGATGGGTTTACCGCTTGAAACCCACTGACGCTGGAGAGCCGCAGTATAAAGCCAGGTTAGTTGCTCGAGGATTTACTCAGAGGAAGGGAATACACTTCACGGAGGTGTATTCGCCAACGTCACGAGCGGAGACTCTGAGAACGCTTTTAGCTTGTGCAGCACAGAGAGGCTGGAAGGTAAACCACTTTGATGTGGATGTTGCCTACCTTAACTCAGATCTCCAGGACGAGCTGTACATGATTCCTCCTCCGGGGTTTGAGAACTCAAGGCAGGATGTTGTGTGGAGATTGCACAAATCCATCTATGGATTACGTCAATCTGCTAGAAACTGGAACATGTGCCTGAATGAAGCTTTGGAGAAGCTAGGTTTCAGGAAGAGTCTTGCTGACAGTTGCCTGTTCCTTAGAGGATCAGGAGACTCACAGGAACTGGTGCTGATTTGGGTTGATGACATGCTTTTCGTCTCCGAAACAGATGAACAGGCGGAAAAGTTTGCCAAAGAGCTAGGTAAGCGATTCAAGCTTAAACAGCTTGGTGCTGTCAAAACCTATCTAGGTGTCAATGTTGAGCGTGCACAGGATGGAAGTTTTTTGCTCAGCCAGAGAGGTAAAATTGAGCAGTTGCTTCAGAAAATGAGGATGAGTGATTGTGCAGGAGTGAGAAGTCCTATGGAGACTAGTTTTGTGAAGGACAGCCAGCAAGCAGAACGCGCTGCGTTCGAAAATACTGAAGTGTTTCAGTCAGCTCTAGGGAGTTTGTTGTACTTGTCCCAGTGGAGCAAACCTGATATAGCGTTTGCTGTCAATCTGCTCAGCAGGGAGGCATCAAACCCTAGTGTGCAAGCCTGGAATGGCATCAAGAGAGTTCTGAGGTATTTGCAGGAGACCAAAGACTTTTGTCTTAGATTGCCAGCTCAAGGAGAAGTCAAACTGACTTGCTTTGTGGACTCGGATTGGGCTAATCTTGAGGATCGCAAGTCTGTGTCTGGCCTAGTGGTGAAGTTTGGGAACTCAGTAGTTGGATGGAGGTCCAAGAAGCAAAGTCTGATAGCGCTCTCATCCACTGAGGCTGAGTTTAGTGCTCTTTCAGAGGTGTGCAGAGAAGTAGAGTTCTATGCTTGTTTGGTGCAGGAACTCTGCGAAGTGGATTGTCTGCCGATACGTGTTTTCGAGGACAATCAACCATGCCTGCGTTTGGCAGAGTCAGGTCAGTTCAAGGCCAGAACGAAACACCTAGACATTCGCTTTCGGAACGTGTGCCAGAGTGTTCAGGAGGGATTAGTTGCGCTGAAGTATTGTCCCTCTGCCAAAAACCTAGCTGATGGGTTCACGAAACCACTCACCTTCCAAAGACATGGGGAGTTTTGTGAAGGTCTGGGTTTGGGACGACCAAGGGTCGATTCTCCCCTCAGGCACGAGACAAGAGGGGGTGTTGGGTGTAGTGAAGGGTTAACCTTCTGTGTCTCGAGGCTGAGAGGAGGCGCTTACAAGGGAAGTAAGCCAGGACGTGACGAAAACAGCTTGGAATGCTGTAAGCTGAGTGAAAAGTGAAAGCAGCTTTGTTACGCAGCTGCAAGCTGAGAGAGAGTCGCAAAATGCAGCTTGAATCAGATGGACTGTAAATATGCTGTTTTTGAGCAAATAAAGTGCTACTAGGAAAGAAGAAACATGTGGGACCTATTTACTGACTGCCCTTTCTACACGGACGCTGTGAAATTCTGCTAATTGCTTTACGACCTGCAGAGGCACGCAGGGGGAAGTGTGCTGGACGACAAGAGTAAAGCAATAAATCTATCCTAACATAAACCTATGAAGACTCTGCAGTCATCACCACCTTTCCCACAAGAGGTGGTGGACTCAGCTTCCTTGGAGGTTTTTAAGCAGAGGTTGGATGGCCATCTGTCATGGATACTTTAGCTGAGATTCCTGCATTGCAGGGGGTTGGACTAGATGACCCTTGGGTCGCTTCCAACTCTTAAGATTCTATGATCATCCAAGCTGTGATGGCCTGGGACTCAGGCTGAGACTCGGAGCCAGAGGAGTCTCAGTCCACACCGGATCTTTTGCCCCAGGCGGCATCTGAACCTAGTCTGGGGTCTGATTCTGAAGGGCCCCAGTCTGCACAGGTTCCCCTGCAACAAGCACCAGCTGGGCTGAGTCAGGGGCCTGAACCTGCCCTGGCTCCAGATGTGGGGATGACCTTGTTGCCCTCTGCTGGGCAATCACGTGCAGCTGCTCCACTACCAGTTGGGTCAGGAGAGGCTGAGGCGGCCTCTGGGCCTAGTAACCCACCGACATCTCCTGAGCTGCAGAGACTGAGGTCTGAGAGAAGGAGAGACCTGAGTACTCGCAGGAGGAGTGCTCGCCTTCGGGCGAGACAGGGAGGTGCGTCACCAGGGGATCAGGACCAGCCGTTACCCCAACAGAGATAAAAGGCTGCTGGACCCTGCCCTAGGTTGTGGGAGCAATGCTGCTGTTTGCCAGAAATCCTGTGCCTGACCTTGTCTGGGTTGCTGCCTTGTGCCCTGCTTTGGCCCTGTCAGACTGACTCCTTGCAGAACCCTTGGATTCGGGACCGGATCTGGACCGTGTTACTCGGGTTACCTCCGGGCCCAGCACACAAGCCCCTGCTCTCTAGGCCACCTCTGAGGGAGGTGTGCAGGATGGCAGCATGAGAACAGGTTTTTTCCAGTGGTGGCTTCCTGACTGTAGAATACTTTTCCAGGGAAACACACCAGAAACCATCATTGCCAGGTCTTGGATGTTTATGACCTACAGGGACTGGACTGAAGAGGAAGAAGAATGGTGGAGATCATGTACACACCCCTTCTCTTGTAGCTTCCAGAGAAGAGAGAGACAGTATTGAATTACAGCAGAACTCTGAGGGAGATAACAGATCAGAGACAGGCATGCAGCTGAGTTACGAGGTGTTAGGAGAAGGAGGGGGGGAGGTGTGCAGCCAGCTGACACGTCTTTAGACAGCATAGATGAGCCGCCGTCCTCAAGAACTTGACGTTTGTTAAGAGTGTAAGAGCAACAGACAAAGAGACATTTGACCATGGGGGCCACCGTAGGGTCAGATGCTGATGGGAGAGAAGTCAAAGAAGGTTGGGGGAAGAACCAGAGTGAGCAATTCCATCATTGAGGGATGTCTGGATTCTTTATCTCTCACCATAAGGACTGAATAAAATCATAAGAAAAACCTTTCACATTTCCTCCCTGCTTCTTGAAGTCACTGGGGGAAGGAGAGAATTCCTCAAGCCTGACAATGACCTAAAAATGCTACCTTTGTGGCAGTGGTGGCTAATCTGTGGCTCTCCTGATGTGGGACTATAACTCCCATCATCTCTGACCAGTGGCCACGCTGGCTGGAGCTGAAGAGAATTGGAGTCTAACTAGATCTGGAGAACAACACTGGCTACCGCTGAGTTTTCCTAGCCTATCCATAGCAGAGAAGATATACAAATTAGGAAATGTTTGGGACAAGTCAATGTTTCAAATGCAGATACATGATTTTGCATAGCAAGCAAGAACCAACAGTATGGTGGGATTAGGAAGACCTGGGTTCAGATCGCCACTCAACCATGAAACTCCCTGGGTGATGTACTTCGGGCTACACACTACCTCTCAGCCTAACTTACCTTGCAGGTTTGTTGTTAGAATAAAAGAGCGGTCGTGCCTGCCTGCTTGAGAATCCATAGAGGAGCAGGGGAATAAATGGAATGAGTCATAATATGTAAGATGTGTGTGACACAGGTAGGAATGCATCATGTTTGCAATCAGATTTGTTGTCTGAATCTACCGATTGTTCCAGGAAGTCCTTGAACCCCAGGTAGATGCTGCCCAACACTATAAGAGGGACACCTGCACCCAGTTGCTTTACAGGTATTTACACAGCACAGCAATCCTTTTACTGCAGTTCATTGGAGCAAGTCATTCAATGTTGACATAGGAGCCCCATCCATTAAATGCCCTGTGCACATAAATCTGGGCGCAAGAAGCACTCAAGCTCAGCCTTGTCCCTTGCCCTACCTTACGACACCATGGTGCCTCTCCTTGTGCTCTGCCTTCTTTCCCCACTCTTAGTTGCCTCTCAGGATCCACGTAAGTTATTTATCATTGATCACATCCATTTTCCTACTATGCTGTTAGGGACACAATAAAAGACCAGTACTATGGAATGACATATCAACTGGGCCATTGTTTGATGCTAATCTAGGGGGGTTAAAAACTTTGCTCAAAATGTTCTTGCCACAGACTGATCTTTTATCAAAAGAAAGAGCTGAGGTGTGTGGAAGAGCTAGTCCCACCCCCTGCATTTGGACTCCCATGCTAGCTTTTGAGTGGATGCATTTGGTGATGGGGAACCACAGAATCATAGACTAGTAGTAATCTGTTAAGCCTGCTGTAAGTTCTAAAGGTAGGTTGGCTGAAATATACAGTATTTAGCTAAGTGCTACTGTGTGTGTGTGTGTGTGTGTGTGTGTGTGTGTGTGTGTGTAGTGCAATGGATGAGCCTAAGTCATGTCCACTAACTTCAAAAGGTCTACTCTTAGTAGGTAAAAAGGGTAATGGAAAAGGACCCCTGGACGGTTAAGTCCAGTATGACTAGCATTGGGAGGCATATTTTGCATGGATCTATCTATTTATCTGTCTGTCTGTCTGTCTGTCTGTCTGTCTATCCAGTGCTTTTTTTCTGGGAGGATACAGGGATACGCATACCCCTAAACATTTTGTGAATCTTTGTAGTTTTGTCCATTTACTGTATTTATTTCCCCCGATTTGAACTATAAAATGGTGATTTTCTTGAGTCAAAATGAGAGTACCTAAACCTTTTTTAAAAAGAAAAAAGCACTCTATCATCTATCTATCTATGTATCTATCTATCTATCTATCTATCTATCTATCTATCTATCTATCTACCTATCTACCTATCTATTGCCACTGGTGTCAGCATTTCTTCTGCACCAGTGGTGGAGGAGGCAGGGCAGGTGGGGCACCTGTGAAGCAGCTGCCTTGGGGACTTCTGCCGCCTGAGGCAATTGCCTCAGTTTGCCTAATGGCAGAGCCAGTTCCATGCTGTTGCACTGCTGGGGTTGGAGCTGCACAGCCACAGCACCCAATTAAGACAATTAACAATTAGTTTAGGTCTGAGAAAAGAAGTGCTTCTTCTTGCACAACAACTCACAAGCACCTCTTAAAATTTACTGCCACAAGGTTTGATGGTGGTACCACCTTAGATGGAATGAAAACAGAATTAGATCAATCCCTGAAGGAGAGACTCCTCAGCGGCTCTGAGTCATGTGAGCTAAAATTTAAATGCTAGATGTAACCTTCTGATTTCGGAGGCACCATACCTCTGAAAGCCAAGTGCGCAAGACAAACATCTAGGAGAAGGGTGATGTCTTCCTGCCCTGTGTGTGACCTTCCTGGACCAGGGCATCCACAGAACAGTGAGGGGCATGGTTGTCCCTCCCATGGATAAACCATCAGCCCCAGATTCCCAGCTTTGCTTGAGAAAGAAGAGGAAAAAGAGTATATGTCTAGCGTAGGGTTGCCATATTTCAAAAAGTGAAAATCTGGATACAAAAGTTGTTGAGCCTTTTCTGGCTTTTAAGGAAATTCCGGATGTGTGGCAACCCTAGTCTAGCATTTCAAGAACCAAGAATATTAGGCAAGAAGAACAGTCATTCTCTCTCTCTCTCTCTCTCTCTCTCTGGGGGAGGGTGTGAGAAACTGTGGTGCTCCCCTGCTTTCAGTGTTTTCTTTACTCTATATACCCATGAATAATTCTTGTGAGCACCCATGTTTCTGAAGGCCTGTAGTAGATCAATGATGAAAAGATAGCATTTTGGCTGGATAAACACCTTACTTTATAAAAGTTTCTATTAAAATTTGTACATTATAACGCCACGCATATAAATCACCTTGCTTCCGCCAAAGAATCATGGGAACTGCAGTTCATCTAGGGTTCTGGGTACTGTTGTTCTGTGAGGGGTGAAGTACAGTTCCCAGGTTTTTGGGTGGAGGCTAAGTGCTTTAATTACACTTTAAATGCATGGTGTGTACGCAGCCAATGTCTGAACGAAGACACATTTCACATTGTGGTGTGTACTCTTGGGAATATGCTGCCCACAGCCAGCATTACGCACTGAATGGGACATAGGCTTTTCCCCATTTTGTTCAATGCCTGAGGGTGCTTCAGTCCCATAGTTGTATGATGTCCTTCTCTCGTCTTCCAGCAGCCTTGAAGTGTATACAAGGCTATAATGCTACCCAAGCTCCGACAGATTGTAAAAATGCTTCAGACCCCTGTGTGACCATCAAGAACGAGAACACACTGACTGGTAAGGAAGCGTTGGAAGAAGGAGAGGGTCAGGGAAGCCTGACAACTATTTGGCATCATGTGGTTCCTCCTAGAGGCTTTGAGAATGATCAGGAATCAGCATGACAATTGACAGGGTCGATGGATTGCCCAGTGGTGTGCCGTGGGTTGCTGGCACCCGGGGCAGGCAAGCAGCCAATGCCTCATTGGAGCCAAATGGGGCTGTGCGACAGCACTTGCCTGTCCACACAACTCAGCTCTTGGTGGGGGACTCCCCTGATGCTTGTGAAGAAGAGTGCCGTGCCGTACTGTGCTAGCCTCCCTCCACCCACACCCAGTCCCTGAGGCTGCTTTGCTGTCTTCGCTTAGGCAAGGTGGGGATCCCTGAGGAAGCCGGAGCCTGTCTGCAGAATTTTGCACCTGGGGCTACTGCCTCCTGCCTCCCTGGTCCCCCCACGCTATGCCACTGGTCTTGCCTCTAGTAGGGGTGCTGTTAAGGAGGCAGTTATGCCTAAGGTGGTTTTTGGTTCCACCTGCTGGATGGTAATGATGGCTCAGACCTGTGTATTATACTGTACATGCATGCCAAGGGCACAAATCCCTTTACTTAAAAATACACTACAATGCACCTAGTAACAAGTAATGACTGGTTGCATTGACAGAAATATAAGAAGCTGTCTTATGCTGAGGCAGACCACTGGTCTATCTAGTTCAGTAGTGTCTGCACTGACCAACAGAGGCTCTCTAAAGTTCCAAACAGGAAGCCTTTTCCCCACTTCTACCTTGAGATGGTGTGATTCAACCTGGGATCTTGGTCACCAAAAGCAGATGCTCCTATGTTTCTATGATTATGCTGACTTCTGGTCTGATCTACAGGCTCTTATACTCTGGGAGGCCATATTCCCTTGGGAGTACTTGGAACCAAGGTGGAAGGGCAAGGCAGAGTAGAGACAATATAGAAGAATTCTGGGGAATGGGGTCACTTGACCTGTTGTTTGTCTTTCCCCTCTTCCGGTAAACAGGGGTCACGTTTACTACAACATTCTATACATGTGGGGGAAATGATTCTTGTGCCAATGCTTTCACCGTCACCATTGGAGATAATGCATATCTGCGATACACCTCGGCTTGCTGTACCACAGATGGCTGCAATGCAAACTTAAAATGGGGAGGTAAGTCATCATCTGCCCCCTCTCTGACAACAGAATTGCAAATCTGGGTCCCTCCAGATGTCATTTTCCTGGTGCACCCAGGTTGATTTCTACTCATGATGCTATTGGGGTGGTCTCAATCATTTCAATAAGGTTTGCGTGTGCAAATGTTGTGGGCTAGTCACATGGCTTCATTTCCAATCAGTGCGCATCCCATTACTTCCTGTGGAACCCCCTTAACTTTTCATTCTACAAATGTATTGGTTTATGTTTTCCCCACTTTTGTTGCTCTATAGCCAGCCCCTCCAGCCAGTGATAATGATGCAGCAGAACTGGGGAAGCATCACTGAACAAATGAAAGCAGGATAAATCTGCCACAAATGAAGTTATTGTTTCAGGAACACGTTGCAAAAAGAAATTAGAAATTGTTATAACGAAAGAAAAAAACTCTACGTAAAATCATGTAGAAAAGTTTTCTGCTCTATGGTGCCACCTGGTGTCACAGAGTTATAATGAATATAAAACTCTCTTTCCTTACTAATATAGCTGAGTCCATACACAATTTGCATTTGAAATTGGTAGGAATAGCATGAAGTGTATGAAGTTTTAGTCCCTCTACCTGTTCTCATCCTAATGTAAGGGAGGGATGAAAGTTATCTCTGGACCTCATTTTTCTGACAAAGAAAATGTTAGAAGAAAACAACATCAAAATAAAGTGTTTGTGGGGGAAAGGTCTCTGTGGGTCACTGATGGAGGAAGAGGGGGAGCCAGGGGAGTGCACCGCTCCTGGCACCACGATCCCGGTGGTGTGCAATCACGGCTGCCCCCCTGCACTGGGCGCTACGCCCCTGCGGGTAGCGCACCATGCCCCCAGGATGTGTGCCACACCCCCGGGATGCACACCAGTCACGCCCCCACCTCCTCTCCGCCCCTGGTTCCGTAGCATGAAGCTCCGCCACTGCTGTGGGTGCCTGCATATTGCCAACCACCACTACCCCCTCAATTTGGGAATGGCGTCCATAACAAGCAGGTGTTGATAGACAGGTGTGGGGAACCAGTGGCACTCCAGATGTTGCTTAACTGCACCTTCCCTCAGCCCCAACAAGCATTGCCAATGGGAAAGGATGTTGCAAGTTGGTAGTTTACCAACATCCGGAGGGCCAAAGTTTGCCCACACCTGGCATGAGAAGAAGGAACTCTGAGTGTGGGACAGGATTGTGTGGGGAGAAGCTGACCTCCTAATAATGGTGTTTCTGTGGCCTGCCTGGAAGGGACTAGGGTGGGTTCAGAAAGATATGGGTCTACGGTGAGCCAGTCCAGGGCTCCCGCTGTTGCATTCACACAACTCCAACCTCCTGCATCTTTTTCCTGCTCCATCATGTGCAAGAGAAGACTGCTGTTTCCCATCTCACTTCTAGCACACACCAGTAGCAGCCACTGTGATGTGATGGATCAGGCAGGGCAGTTGCATGGATGCTTGGCAAAGCTCCATACAGGTAAACAGCAGAAATGCCAGCATTAGGAGACTTGCTTCACCCCAACACACTGGCTGCTACTGGTGCGTGTGTGAATCAAGCCTTTTAAGGAACCATCAGGCCTCTTCTTAAAATCCTATTTAGAAATTCCCCACACCACTTGCTTCTCTCTTCTTTGCTTCCTAGTTCCTCCAGCTTCTTCGGCAAAGAATGGGCTGGTTTGCTCAACTGGATGTTTCACTGAGACACAGGAACCCTGCAAAGGCGGAAAAGTCTCATGCACAGATGCGGAAAATACTTGCATCAGCGTAACAGGAAGATATGGCCCTAAGAAAGGTACTTAGCAGGGGAGGAAGAGGGATTGCATGGGGTAGAGGGCGCAGGTGGGAGGGGAATGCTGCCTCTGGAGCATCCAGAGATGGACCAACCATGAGCCAAGATGAGATGGACACCTCAGGTGGCAGAGCGAGAGACCTGCTGCCCTGAACCCCAAGTAACAATCTTCCAGGGTGTTCTCTGATGCAAACATCATTGAAATGAACAAGTGCTGTGCCAGAGCATGCAGGGATTGTATCCATGATAAGGTGCTAATGACTTGTGTGCATTGTCCTTTGGTGCACTAAAATGTCTTGGGTGAGGGGTTGAATTTGGGCTCCTTCACATAAGTCATTTTCAAATGAGTAGAACCTTGAGATTATCAAGCTACCGTATTTTTTGCACCATAACACTCACTTTTTTCCTCCTAGAAAGTAAGGGGAAATGTCTGTGCGTGTTATGGGGGGAATGCCTACGGGTGGCATGCCTACGGATTTTCCTCCTCTAAAAACTACATGCGTGTTATGGTCGGGTGCGTGTTATAGAGCGAAAAATACGGTAAATGTTGGAACATTCAGATTGGCCAAATAAGGAAGTCTTGTATGAGTCAGAATTAGGTACATGTAAAGGAATAGAAGGCACATTTCTATTGTAGAGCAGCTAAAGGATTTTGTGAGATGATACGCAATGAGATGAAAAAAAAAATTAAGAGGACTCTCCCAAAAAGACCAGAAGCTTTTCTTCTAGCAATATTTGGACCAGATGTACCAAAGAATCAAAGGAATTTGTTTCTGTATGTGAGAATACTAGATGCTCCAAAATGGTGGGAGGATGCTGTACATATGAAAGAGGAGTGGCAGTTGAAATTGATGGAATATGCTGAATTAGCAATTTTAACTAGTAAAATTAGAGAACAAGACGAGACAGCCTTCAAGGAGGATTGGGAAATGTTTGTAGATTATTTTTTAAAAAATATTGTAAACATGTTAAAATGCTAGCAGGTTTGGAGTAAGCTTAGCAGTAAAAGTTATTCAGATAATAAGGTGGAGGAAAGAAGGTATAGAATAATTACAATATGCAGCAGCAAAAGATAATTTGAAGAAACCAAGGAAGGGTGGAAGGGAAGTTGATTACCAAGGGAATACATACTGGAAAATGTTTGACTAGTTGTATTTTATTTTTTGAAATTTATAAATAAAATTTATAAACAAACAAACAAATAAGCATTCTTCGCCTAGTGCATAGTTAAATGATGGGATTCGGTCTTATAAGATGTAGGGATGATGGCCACCATCTTGGATGGCTTTCAAAAAGTATTGGACAGATTCACGGAGGATAAGACTGCCAATGACTATTAACCATGTCTACTTGCAGAGTCCAAGTTCAACCTGAAGGGTTGTGGAACAAGAAACGTATGTGAATTCAAGGGCAAAGATGTGCTCATTAATGGAACCAGCTACTCAGTGGAAAAGGCAACCTGTGAGAATGCTAAATCCTCCAGCACCAAGCATATCCTGGGGAAGAGTTCCTTCCTCCTCCTGCTACCCAGTATCTCCAGCATTCTCTTTATGAAGTTTCTCTCCTGAGTTTTATTCCCATGCCAGCCAACTTGTAGGATCCATGCCGTGAGCTTTTGGGCATCGGAATGGACAGATCTGTCAAGTTCAGTGCTCTTAAGTTTCTCATTTTTAAAAAAATCTTAAATTCTTTTCTCCACAATACTACAACAATCTGCTTTTTTTAAAAAAAAAGCTATTGAAAATCAATCCACATTTTAGCATAAATTTCTCCTAATAAGCACAATTTGTAATTGCAGTTTAACCAGTATAGAGTTTTGCTAGCATTTCTCCCTAATATAAAGCATTTGTATACAGTGGTACCTCGGGTTAAGAACTTAATTCATTCCGGAGGTCCTTTCTTAACCTGAAACTGCTCTTAACCACTTCAGTTAATGGGGCCTCCCGCTGCCGCTGCCCAATTTCTGTTCTCATCCTGAAGCAAAGTTCTTAACCCGAGGTACTATTTCTGGGTTAGCGGAGTCTGTAACCTGAAGCGTCTGTAACCCGAGGTACCACTGTATATGATATTATCACCAAAATATGCACTGTTGGCACTTTCTCCACATAAATGCACTTTTGTATACACCGTTTGGTTTATGAACTACATTGCAAAATTCTGAGAAATGTGAAATTTGAAGGCTGAGTTTTAGCTTGCGTATTGATCTGGGAAGTGCAAATGAGTTAGTTTCTCATTAAAATGTAGACAAAATTGAATTCCTTCCTCATCTCAACTTGGAGACCGCGATGCCTCCCCATCCTCCTCCAGGTTTTTTTTCCAGGGTTACCGTCTGTTTTCTGAATGAAAGTTTGCAGGCCCAATAAAGAATAATCAGGGACTTCTGGCTTGTCGCCACCAAGATGGCTGAAATTCCATTGCAGCCACTCGCATTAGTAATTAGAGGTTAAGATGGGAGTAATCAGCCTCCCAACCCCCCCAAGGTTCGGGGGGGCAGTCTCATCCACAGTTTGCCCAACACCTGGCCCCAAATTCGGAAGGAATGAGGGGCCGGGGGGCGCTGGATGCATAGCACAGTGCGTTTCTTGGCAACTCTCCAAAGCTGTCTCCGTGAGCGACAAACCTCCATTTCTTAAGATGAAAAATTGGATTCAAATTATGGACATTCTCTGAGCGATGATGGGGAAAATATTCTGCTAATTGCCAGCCACTGAGGTGCTAAAAAAGGATTTGATCGGAAGATGGACTATTATTTGCGTGGAGGTATGATGGAACGGAAAAGGGGGGGGGTGAGCCTTATTGTTTTCATTATGCTTTGTTTTACTATGTTACTCTGCAAAATCACTTCTGGTTTGGCTACTTGATTAACTATGAAGCAAGTGAGATTGAAAAGTTTGGTATTTATTGATATAAAGTGGGTTTAACAATCATCAACTGCGTGGAGACAACAATTATTTTAAACAAAAAACTAAGGATTGTGACTTTTGGCTTGTTAGAAAAAGATTTCCTGGTTTGATTTATGATATTGGCATAGAAGCAACATCTCATTAACAGCTGGAGAGATGCCGAAGAACTTGGGATGACTGCCCGGGATTTATGACGCAGTCTTAATAGGCCGCCATTATGGATGGAAGTGCAGACCAGTTTGTTGTTAAAGTGTAAAGTCATGGGGGAGGTGGGTTTTCAATATTCTATGTTTGTATTTTTAACTAAAACCCTTCCCTGGAAAGGCTAACGTTTGAATGACAACTGGTTTGGGAAAAGCATAGGGCAGATGCCTTGATTGGATTTCATCTGGACAGAATAGACTGGACATCTGCATTTGCATGTAATGGGAGGATTCTTGGACTGATTTGGCAGAAATACCAGCCTGTGAAGAGATGCTGTGAACCTATATGGGGGAATCCTGGATATAAAACCACACAGAAACGTATTGTTTGATTTATCTCGCTTGTTGGAAGAACTCAGAGGCTGTGGAAAATAATGAGGATTAACATCAAATGACTTATGGGAATCATTGGAAATGAATATGAGAAGCAGTAGAAGTATGAGATGATCAGATTCCCTCCGACCTCAGAGCATGGGGAAGTCTCCCTGAAAAATTTATAATTTGACATAATATTTGGATTGTTTAATTATTGAATAATTTGTATAATTTGGAATATAAGATGTGATTTGATTGGAATGTTAAAATGGAAAATTTAATAAATATTATTTAAATAAAAATAAAAATAAAGAATATTCAGTCCAAAAACGGTTCTATTTGTTTCTTCCAGATGGCAGTCAATAAGAGTTTTAAGAAGGCTTTAGCACTAAGGGGAGGTCCCAGTCAGAGGGTTCTTGCATGGTTGGGTGGGGTGGCGCGGGTGAGTCTACAGAGGAGAATGTTGTGTTTCTTCCTAATGTAACTTTGTATTGATTCAAAAAGTGATTTGGCCAGTCTGGGGCAAAGCAACACTCCTTATGTCTATCCAAGATTATTCTATATATAAAAGAGATGAATCTCAATTAAAACAAATGAAGAAACTAAAACCCCAAATCAGAAGCAAGTCCCACTACCATTCCAGCCATGCCTATGCTCCTATCCACATCTCCATTTTGTCAAGCAAGAGGCATGAGCACAGCTCAAGGACATAAACCAGAGAGTGGAGCCCAGCTGGTGAACAGTAGCAGATTCAGAAGTGTCGGGTTCCTTCATAGTAGGCACCAGTGAGAGCAGTGAATGTCCTGGCTGAGTGCATGGAGGTGGTTGGAGGATGGATGGTGGTCAAGGGATTGAGGTTGAACCCGGACAAGATAGAAGCACTGTGTGTGAAAGTGTTTATGGGAGGAGCTAAGGGCTCCAAGTCTGCAATCTAAAGAGACAGAGCAGCTGGGGGAGAGAAAATAAGGAGGACTCCAACTTTCTCACTTTTAAAACCTGCCAAGATTTTGAGACCTGCAAGGTGATAACTGAGCGATCCATAAACTCAGAAAACTGCAAAGCACTAATCAGCTTTTGCAAAATGCTGCGCCTTTGCCTTCCATGCTTGAATTCATACTGTGTGGGCAAAAATGGATCACCTGACCTCATGGGGACATCAGCTGATTTATCGTTGGGCAGCACACCCACCCACCCACCATCAAAGTTGGCCCATTCTCCTGATCAAGTTTCCCAACCCTGCAATAAATTCAAGTGGAGAGAGAGGGAGGGAGGGAGAGAGGGAGAAACACCAGCTCAGTAACTATTGACAGGGATGGAGACCCTATGCTGCCCCCTCTTGATTTTGCTGAATTACACCTCCCACAATTCCTTACTGTTTCAAGCTGGCTGGGGCTGATAGCGACTGGATTTCAGCAAGACTTGGATGGCCAGCTCTGCTGTGGACTGATAAGCAGAAGCTGGAAGAGCAAACTGCTGATCTCATAATCATGTCAGACAGCAGGTGTTTTCCCTGGCCGGATTTCCCTGGATGTTTAGCCAATTTCTGCCTGGACAGTTTCCGACAGCAGCTTGCCAGCTGTGTCAGGGAAATTCTGGACATATGGCAACCCTAACAGCCGTCATGTTCTCACCTTCAAAACCTGGGGGGCGGGCAGGGCTAATTGTGAACAGTAGGAGCAGGATTGCAACTCTACCTCTTCCCCAGACTTTTGGGTGTTAAGCTGGGTGCATGCGAATAGAGGTTTCTCTAGTCCTCATGAGTGAATGGAAGCAGACATTTCTAATATGTAGTCATATGTACATAGAGCCTGTTCTGATCTGTGGCTGAACATGTTGATGCTGCAGGCAGGGTTAATTATTTGCCTTGAGAGCATATTTAAACTTCTTTTGTTGTCTACCAGCATTATGCTAGCCATTCTTCCCATTTTTTAAATTATAATTTTCAGGTTTATATATTTTAATAATTTAATATCTGAACAGGAAGTAGAAGGTGCCATACAAAATATGCAATTGGGCAAATCTCCAGGACCGGACGGGCTGACTTCCAGATACTATAGATCTTTGAAAGAGTGGTTACTGCAACCTTTGAAGGAAGTCTGCAATGAAATACTGGAGGGGAAAAGGGCACCAGAATCGTGGAAAGAGGCGTACATCACACTTATACCGAAAACAGAGACTGAAAAGACTCAGCTTAAGAACTATCGCCCTATATCGTTACTTAATGTGGATTACAAAATTTTTGCAGACATTTTGGCCAAGAGATTGAAAAATATTGATGAAAGAGATTCATAAAGACCAAGCGGGCTTTCTCCCGGGAAGACATCTGTCTGATAACTTGAGGAATATAATTGATATTTTGGAAAAATTAGAAGTGAATATAAACACCAAAGCAGTATTGATATTTGTTGACGCGGAGAAAGCTTTTGATAATATCTCTTGGAGTTTTATGAAGAAGAATCTGCATGGGATGGGGGTAGGCCAAGGTTTTGAAAATGGTATAGGTGCAATATACTCTGAACAAAAGGCTAAATTAATTGTAAATAATGTGGTTACGGAAGAATTTAAGATAGAAAAAGGGACACGACAGGGGTGCCCAATTTCCCCACTGCTTGGTATATCGGTCCTGGAGGTTTTGCTAAATATGATTAGAAAGGACCGGTTGGTTAAGGGCATACAGGTCGGAGCTAAACAGTATAAATTGAGAGCATTTGCAGATGACCTAGTATTGACGTTACAGGAGCCAGAATCTAGTACTAAAAGAGTTTTAGAATTAATTCAGGAATTTGGTCAGGTGGCAGGTTTTAAATTGAACAAGTTAAAAACTAAGGTTTTAGAGAAAACACCGATTGAAAGAGAGAGGTTTCAGAATGAGACAGGATTGAATGTGGTAAAGAAAGTGAAATACTTGGGGATTAATATGACAGCCAAAAATGGGAACTTATTTAAAGATAATTACGAAAAATGTTGGACGGAAGTGAAAAAGATTTAGAAATTTGGTCAAATTTGAAACTCTCGTTGCTGGGCCGTATTGCTGTGATAAAGATGAATGTATTGCCTAGAATGTTGTTTTTGTTTCAGACATTACAAATTGTAGATAAGATGGACTGTTTCAAGAGGTGGCAGAGAGATATTTCTAGATTTGTCTGGCAGGGCAAGAAGCCCAGAATAAAATTTAAGATATTAACTGACGCTAAGGAAAGAGGTGGATTTGCCCTGCCAGACCTTAAACTTTATTATGAATCAGCAGCTTTTTGCTGGCTGAAAGAATGGCTACTTCTTGAAAACACAGACATTTTGGATTTAGAAGGTTTTAACAATGTATTTGGATGGCATGCATATTTATGGTATGATAAGGTCAAAGCACACAAAGCATTCAAAAATCATATTGTTAGGAAAGCATTGTTTAATGTCTGGATAAGATACAAAGACTTATTGGAAAATAAAACCCCAAGGTGGCTGTCATCAATGGAAGCAAAAGCTCTGAAAAGGCTCAATATGGAGGCCAAATGGCCGACATATTGGGAAATTTTGGAGCAAGAAGGAGATAAATTGAGACTGCAGAGTTTTGAAAAATTAAAAATAAAGTGAGAGATTGGCTCCACTACTATCAGATAATGGAGGCATATAACTTGGATAAGAAAATAGGCTTCCAAGTGGAAAAGTCAAAATTAGAAACAGAATTGTTAGAACCCAAAACTAAAAATTTGTCAAGAATGTATAACTTGCTGTTGAAATGGAATACTCAGGATGAAACGGTGAAATCTGCTATGATTAAATGGGCACAAGATGTTGGACATAACATTATGTTTGCGGACTGGGAACAGTTATGGACCACAGGTATGAAGTTTACGGCATGTAATGCCTTAAGAGAGAATATTATGAAAATGATATACAGGTGGTACATGACCCCAGTCAAGCTTGCAAAAATTTATCATTTGCCCGATAATAAATGTTGGAAATGTAAAGAAACTGAAGGTACATTCTTTCACCTTTGGTGGACGTGCCCAAAGATTAAGGCTTTCTGGGAAATGATATACAATGAACTGAAAAAGGTATTTAAATATACCTTTCTGAAGAAACCAGAGGCCTTTCTCTTGGGCATTGTCGGCCAACTGGTGCCAAAGAAGGATAGAACCTTTTTCATGTATGCTACAACAGCAGCAAGAATACTTATCGCAAAGTATTGGAAGACACAAGATCTACCCACTTTGGAAGAATGGCAGATGAAGGTGATTGACTACATGGAATTGGCGGAAATGACTGGCAGAATCCGAGACCAGGGAGAAGAGTCGGTGAAAGAAGATTGGAAAAAATTTAAGGACTATTTACAGAAATATTGTAAAATTAAGGAACTTTAGAAGGATGTTGGATAGAAATTAAGAGGTTTTTAGCTGTAATGCTTTAAGAGACATGAAAAAAAAAATTTTAACAATTGGGTAAAAGATTAATGGTAAGGATTTGCTGAACCAACAAACTGAATTGGAATACAAAGAAGGGAGGTATGAGGAGGTCTGGGGAAATAAGAGTAAGGAAGATAGGTTATGGAACATCATTGTGTTTTTAATTGTTTTATTTTGTATGTTTTTTCTTACTTTTTACTTTTTTGCTGTAATTTATACTTTTTTCTTTGTTTTCTGTATTTTTGTGAAACTTTAATAAATATCATTAAAAAAATATATAGAATTTTCAGGTTTATATATTTTAATGATTTTACAGTCATTTTAACATTTTAAAACTTGGTTTTCTTCCCCCCATTTTCTGTGATTCCTTACATTTATTTTTAATATTTTCTGCATATCCAAATTAACTTAATTTGTTCAAATATACAAAAAAATTAAAAAAATGTCCAGTAGCACCTTAGAGACCAACTAAGTTTGTTCTTGGTATAAGCTTTCATGTGCATGCACACTTCTTCGGACGAAAGCTTACCAGACAATTTGTTTATTTTTAATATATTTTGACTGCATCAGACCAACACAGCTGCCTACCAGCTCCCATCCTACCCTTAACTCTTTTGCCTTGGATGAAGGGAATATTGGAAAAATGAAAATTTGTTCATTTATTCATCTACTTTAACTATACACTTTTATGAAACTGCAGGTTATTACATTAATCCTGCCAGTGTCCTGATCTGTTTACAATTTGTTTGTAAATATTCAATAAACCATTTCCATTCTTTTATAAAAAGTTTGTTATCTTGTTTTCTTATTTTTCCGGTCAGTTTCGCCATTTTTGCATATTCCATAAGTTTTTGTATCCATTCTTCTTTTGCTGGGAATTCTTATTCTTTCCATTTTGGGGCAAGCAACATTCTTCCTGCTGTAGTAGCATACATGAATAAGTTTCTGTACAATTTGGGTAGTTCTGTCCCTATAATTCCTTTTTTTTTACGGTGACCATTCTTGAGTCGGGAATAGAGTAGTTGCTTTGGAAGACGATAGTCAGGCATCCGAACAACACAACCAGTCCAGTTGATGTTGAGCAATCTTTGCTTCAACACTGGTGATCTTTGCTTCTTCCTGTACAGTGGCATTAATTCACTTGTCTTCCCAAGTTATCTGTTAAATATGACACATTGAAGCTGAACATTGGCAGGTTGGATGCCTGAGCCCCCTTCTAATTCCTGGATCCAGCACAGATTCAATTCCTGGAACAACCTGCTTAGCTTGAGGCCATGGCCTTCTAAGTATGGGCTCCTAAAGTAAGAAAGGAAGTGGCTCTGTGCCAGGCGACAAATGGTTCGGTCCCCCTCCCTTGACTTGCTGGTAGTTAGAAAGACAAAGAGCAGAGAGAGTTGTGTGAGAGCTAGAAGCTGGAAGCAAAGTAGCAGGCCGGGAAGCCAGAGAGACAGAGCCATGGCTGGTTTCTCTTTGATGCCAAGGCTGTGGCAATGGGAGAAGCAAGACCCTCTTGGCATGTTAGTGCTATGAATCCCTCCATTGTAGGCTCAGGTTGTATATATGTGCAAAAAAGAACCCAAATATCATAAAGACACCACTGTCTCTGCTGCCCATTATTGCAAAGGAAACATGAACCCTGGGTAAGCGCCAGGAACCACAGGAATCTTGAACCGCTAGGAGATTGGGGTGGCATCATAGGTGTCCACTCCCTGGGGACCTGGTTGCCCAACCCCCAAAAAAATTCCCCATGAAGGGGCCGGGCAGCCACAAATTTTGGTGTTGCATGGCACCCACAGTCCTAGGCACCCACGCTTGTGGGGCCAAGCCAACACTCCTGGGTGGCATGCAACACTGGGAACCAGAGTAGGGGAGAGTTCTCTTGTGCTTAGTTTCTGCTTGCAGGTTTCCCACAGGTGTTGGTGCGACCACTGTGAGAACAGGATGCTGGAGTAGGTGGGCTATTGGACTAGTCCCACATCGTTCTTATGTTCTTAATGCACAACACAAAAGGTACAAAGCATTTTTGCCTAAAGCAAATTCAAAGCAAGGTTGGGTGGTTGCTCCTTTGGTGAAATGTTTGAGGATTGTGACAGAAGCCCAAAGGGGAATGACTGGAGGATGGGTAACTATCTTTATCTAAAATCTGAAAATGGATCTGAGATGAGGTGTTTCTTCCCTGTTTCTGTGCTTGCTCTCAGTGCCACGACTGGGGGCCAGGGCAAATGGCTTACAGTGTCCTGGATGCTTCTCACAGGATCCAAGGTGCCGCCCCACGGAGACATGAACCTGGGTTCAGATCGCCACTCAGCCATGAAACTCTCAGCCTAATCTACCTTGCAGGCTTGTTAGAATAAAAGAGCCGTCTTGCCTTGCCTGCCTCCATAGAGGTATCTGCTCAAATCCAAACTCAACATGTGGCTAATATGTTAGGAGTCATTCTGCAAAGAAACTGAAAAAGATGCTTGTAACTTTAAGAACTGTTTCTTTAGTTTATGGTGTGGTTTTCTGATCTGATAGGGTACAGCTGGTTATGAGTATAAAGGGAGATGGATTGCGATTTGTTTTTGCCTGCAAAGAGGATACTCACACAGTGTGTTTGTGCTTGTAAGCTTGTAAATAAAACTCCGTTTGAGTATTTTTACACCTCGTGGTCTCTGTCATCTGCTGCCAAGAGATACAGCTCCAACATAATAATGTATTATCATGAGTTTGATCATACTACAAAATATACAAATCATAAGCATCCACATATAATTTATGCATAGTTATGCAAAGGTTCTTAAACAAGAAATAATAAGCACAATAAATTGCTGTCAGGGAACACCGCGACGAAGGCAGGATTCCTTTCAATAGCAATATTGTAGAGGTAGGTGCTCCAACGCAGGGAAAATATATTCAAATCGCTTTGGAATGCAGCAATAAACAGCAAACAATACAGGAACAGAACAGTGTTTCAAGGATAAGTCAACTGTTTAAAGTCAGTGTTTCATAGAATCATAGAATCATAGAGTTGGAAGAGACCACAAGGGCCATCGAGTCCAACCCCCTGCCAAGCAGGAAACACCATCAGAGCACTCCTGACATATGGTTGTCAAGCCTCTGCTTAAAGACCTCCAAAGAAGGAGACTCCACCACACTCCTTGGCAGCAAATTCCACTGTCAAACAGCTCTTACTGTCAGGAAGTTCTTCCTAATGTTTAGGTGGAATCTTCTTTCTTGTAGTTTGGATCCATTGCTCCGTGTCCGCTTCTCTGGAGCAGCAGAAAACAACCTTTCTCCCTCCTCTATGTGACATCCTTTTATATATTTGAACATGGCTATCATATCACCCCTTAACCTCCTCTTCTCCAGGCTAAACATGCCCAGCTCCCTTAGCTGTTCCTCATAAGGCATCGTTTCCAGGCCTTTGACCATTTTGGTTGCCCTCCTCTGGACACGTTCCAGTTTGTCAGTTTCCATAGAGGAGCGGGAGAATAAATGGAATGAGTCATAATATGTAAGGTGTGTGACAAACCGGTTAGAAATGCATCACATTTGCCATCAGTTTTGTTGTCTGAATCCAACGGTTGTTCCAGAAAGTCCTTGAACCCCAGGTAGATATTGCACAATACAATAAGAGGGGCATCTCCACCCATTTGCCTTACAGGTATTTACACAGCACAGCAATCCTTTTACTGCAGTTCATTGGAGCAAGTCATTCAATGTTGACATAGGAGCCCCATCCATAAAATGCCCTGTGCACATAAATCTGGGCGCAAGAAGCACTCAAGCTCAGCCTTGTCCCTAGCCCTACCTTACGACACCATGGTGCCTCTCCTTGTGCTCTGCCTTCTTTCACCACTCTTAGTTGCCTCTCAGGATCCATGTAAGTTATTTATCATTGATCACATCCATTTTCCTACTATGCTGTTAGGGGCACAATGAAAGACCAGTACTATGGAATGACATATCAACTGGGCCATCGTTTGATGCTAATCTAGGGGGGTTAAAAACTTTGCTCAAAATGTTCTTGCCACAGACTGATCTTTTATCAAAAGAAAGAGCTGAGGTGTGTGGAAGAGCTAGTCCCACCCCCCGCATTTGGACTCCCATGCTAGCTTTTGAGTGGATGCATTTGGTGATGGGGAACCACAGAATCATAGACTAGTAGTAATCTGTTAAGCCTGCTGTAAGTTCTAAAGGTAGGTTGGCTGAAATATACAGTATTTAGCTATGTGCTACTGTGTGTGTGTGTGTGTGTGTGTGTGTGTGTGTGTGTGTAGTGCAATGGATGAGCCTAAGTCATGTCCACTAACTTCAAAAGGTCTACTCTTAGTAGGTAAAAAGGGTAATGGAAAAGGACCCCTGGACGGTTAAGTCCAGTATGACTAGCATTGGTAGGCATACTTTGCATGGATCTATCTATTTATCTGTCTGTCTGTCTTTTGGAAAAACACTCGGGAAGGCCACCACCTTCCCAAGACACCGGGGGGGGGGGGTGTGTCTCTCCGGTGGTCACTCTCTGGTTGTAAATCTTCCTCAGTCCAGAGAGACCGGTGATAAGCGACCCCTCCCTCCTGAGAGGAGCATGCTCGTCTTCTGGCATCTCATAGCAGAATAAAGAGTCAATTAGTAGCTCTAAAACTACTTTAATTTACACTCTATATACAAAGAATCCATCAGCATGTCTGCGCTCTCTCAGCACCAGTACAGAACAGCATCTCACACAGAAGTGAAACTAACTTTCAACAGAACCCCAACATTACTGAGACTTCCTGTCTCACACTCTCAGACACTCACATGTTATAAACAGCATAGTGCTACTTGCTGAGCAGCATGGGTAGATAAAATCCTAACAATATCAACTGTGCCATCATTTGATGCTAATCTAGGAGGGTTAAAAACTTTGCACAGAATGTTCTTGCCACAGACCAATCTTTTAGCAAAAGGAAGAGCTGAGGTGCACACAAGAGCTAGTGTTTTTTCTCCATTTAGATTTCCACGCTAGCTTTTGAGTGGATGCCTTTGGTGATGGGGAATCATAGAATCATAGATTGGGAGTAATCTGCTGTAAATTCTAAAGGTGTTGGCTGAAATATACAGTATTCAGCTAAGTGCTGCTCAGAGTATATATATTGCAATGAATGAGCTTAAGTCATGTCCGCTAACTTCCAAAGGTCTACTCATAGTAGGTAAAAGGGGTAATGGCAAAGGACCCCTGGAAGGTTAAGTCCAGTAGGACTAGCATTGGGAGGCATATTTTGCATGGATCTATCTATCATCTGTCTATCGATCTACTATCTATCTAAACAACCCAGGTAGCTATGTTGCCCGCCATGTAAGCAGCAAAATGCTATTGCCTTGGTTGTTTTCTACTGCTGGTTGATCTTCTCTTGACTTTCTTGACTAAATCTCAACATGCCACAGGCAGTGGTGAGACTGGGGCCATTGGTGGTGTGTGTATGAAAATGTGCCACTCTTGATGACACAGAAAATTGGTGTTTGTTAGTACACCACCTCTATACTGCACTCAAATGCAAGTTGTGTGCCCCATTTTACAAGAGCAGCATGCACAGCTGCCTTTCTGGACATATCTGGGCAGGAGCTAGGGACAGTGCATCCCATTTCTTCACTTGAGATGACATGGGAAGTACCGCCTTGCCCTGCCCTTCTAGTGACGCCATACCTGTTGCCACTGTCTCCGCTTCTCCCCCTGCTCGGCTGCCTTGGCTGTGGGTGGAAAAGCATTGCTAGCACTGATGCCTAATTCAGGTACGATATTGCTGAAATGGCCGAAGTTACTGCATGCTTGCTAGATCATTCGTGGTGGAGGAGGCAGGGCAGGTGGGGCACCTGTGAAGCTGCCACCTTTGGAACTTCTGCTGCCTGAGGCAGTTGCCTCCGTTTGCCTAATGGCAGTTCCCTGCTGGTGCACTGGTGGGGTTGGAGCTGCAAAGCCACCAGTCCAGCACCCAGTTAACATAATTAACAATTTGTTTAGGCCTGATGAAAGAAGTGCTTCCTCTTGCACAACAACCCATAAAGCACCTTCTGAAATTCACTGCCACAAGGTTTGGTGGTGGTACTGCCTTAGAAGGAATGAAAGTAGAATTAGATCAATCACTGAAGGAGAGGCTCCTCAGTGGCTTTGAGCCATGTGAGCTAAAATTTAGATGCTAAATGTAACCTCCTAGTTTCAGAGGCACCATACCTCTGAAGGCCAAGTGCTCAAGACAAACATCTAGGAGAAGGGTGATGTCTTCCTGCCCTGTGTGTGACCTTCCTGGACCAGGGCATCCACTGGACAGTGAGCCCCGTATTCAAAGCTTTGCTTGAAAAGGAAAAGGAAAAAGAGTATGTGTCTAGGATAGGGTTGCCATATTTCAAAAACTGAAAATCTGGACAAAAAAGTTGTTGAGCTTTTATTGGAAATTCACAGAATCGAGACTTCTGACATCGGTGTCATATGTCCAGATTTTCCTGGACATTTTAGCGATTTCTGCCCAGACACTGCTTCCGACTGCAGTATTCTGGCTATGTCTGTGAAATTCTGGACATATGGCAAAGTTAGGGTAGTATTTCGACAACCAAGAATATTAGGGAAGAAGTACAGTCTCTCTCTCTCTCTCTCTCTCTCTCTCTCTCTCTCTCTCTCTCTGAGAAATGTGCTCCCCAGCTTTCAGTGTCCCCCCCCCCTTACCTACCCATGAATAATTGTTTTGGGCACCCATGTTTCTGAAGGCATGTAGTAGATCACTGGAAGGTGAAAACTGGGCAAGATGGCATTTTGGCTGGAAAAGCACCTTACTTTTTAGAAACACTTCTATTAAAATTTGTTAATTATAACAACGGCGCACATGTAAAGCACCTTGCTTCTGCCGAAGAAGAACAGGAGCTGTAGTTTGTCAAGGGTGCTGAGTACAGTTGTACTATGAGGGGTGAGCTACAGTTCTCAGGATTTTGGGTGGAGTCTAAGTGCTTTAAGTATACTTTAAATGCATGGTGTGTACGCAGCCAAGGTCAGAACCAGGAGGACACATTTCACATTGTGGTGTGTACTCTTGGGAATATGCTGCCCACAGCCAGCATTACGCACTGAATGGGACATCCTGCTTCTATGGCTTTCCCCCATTTTGTTCAATGCCTGAGGGTGCTTCAGTCTCATCGTTGTATGATGTCCTTCTCTCGTCTTCCAGCAGCCTTGAAATGTATACAAGGCTATGATGCTACCCAAGCTCCGACAGATTGTAAAAATGGTTCAGACGCCTGTGTGACCATCAAGGATGAGTACACACTGACAGGTAAGGAAGCGTTGGAAGAAGGTGAGGGTCATGGAAGCCTGACAACTATCTGGCATCATGTGGTTCCTCTTGGAGGCTTTGAGAATGATCAGGAATCAGCATGACAATTGACAGGGTCAATGCCTTGCCCAGTGGTGTGCCGAGGGTTGCTGGCACCCGGGGCAGGCAAGCAGCCAATGCCTCCATAGCACACACACCCCTCATCGGAACCAAGTGGGGCCGTGCTACACCACCTACCTGCCCACACAACTCAGCTCTTCATGGGCGAACCCCTCTGATGCTTGTGAAGAAGAGTTCCATGCTGTACTGTGGTGGCCTCCCTCCACCCACACCCAGTCTGTGAGGGACTGGGCTGCTTTGCTGTCTTCACCTAGGCAAGGTGGAGATCCCCACAGAAGCCGGAGCCTGTCTGCAGAATTTTGCACCCGGGGCCACTGCCTTCCTGGTCCACCCACCCTATGCCACTGGTCTTGCCTCTGGTACGGGTGCTATTTAGGGAGCCTGTACCTCCCCCTCCTGTGTTTCCGACCTCAGGGCAGTTATGTCTAAGGTGGTTTTTGGTTCAACCTGCTGGATGGTAATGATGCAACATGGCTGTGTATGCCAATGGCACAAATCCCTTTACTTAAAAATACACTACAACACACCTAGCAAAGTTGCAAACAGGAAGCCTTTTCCACAGCTCTACCTTGAGATGGTGGGATTGAACCTGGGAACTTGGTCACCAAAAGCAGATGCTCCTATGTTTCTATGATTATACTGTGTTCTTGTCTGATCTAGAGGCTCTTATACTCTGGGAAGCCATATTCCCTTGGGAGAACTTGGAACCAAGGTGGAAGGACAAGGCAGAGTAGAGACAATATAGTTAGGCAGAGAATGAAGGAGAATTCTGGGGGATGGGGTCTCTTGACCTGCTGTTTGTCTTTTTTTATCTTCCGGTAAACAGACCCAAAGTTTAATGCAACATTCTATACATGTGGGAGAATTTTTTCTTGTGCCCATGCTTTTACCATCACCATAGCAGATGGGAAATACTTGCGTCACACCTCGGCTTGCTGTACCACAGATGGCTGCAATGCAAACTTAAAATGGGGAGGTAAGTCATCATCTGCCCCCTCTCTGACAACAGAATTACAAATCTGGGTCCCTCCAGATGTCATTTTCCTTGTGCACCCAGGTTGATTTCTGCTCATGGTGCTATTGGGGCGGTTTCAATCATGTTTGTGTGTGCAAAGGTTTTGGGCTAGTCACATGGCTTCATTTCCAATCAGTGCGCATCTCATTACTTCCTGTGGAACCCCCTTAACTTTTCATTCTACAAATGTATTGGTTTATGTTTTCCCCACTTTTGTTGCTCTATAGCCAGCCCCTCCAGCCAGTGATAACAATGTAGTAGAATCAGGGAAGCATCACTGAACAAATGAAAGCAGGATAAATCCGTCATGAATGCAGTGTTATTGTTTCAAGAACACACTGCAAAAAGAAATTAGAAATTGTTATAACGAAAGAAAAAAACTCTATGTAAAATCGTGTAGAAAAGTTTTCTGCTCTATGGTGCCATCTGGTGTCACAGCATTATAACAAATGTAAAACGTTCTTTCTTTACTAATGTTTCTTTATTACTAATGTATTCTTTATTCTTTATCTGAGTCCATACACAATTTGCATTTGAAATTGGTAGGAATAGCATGGAGTGTATGAAGTTTTAGTCCCTCTACCTGTTCTCATCCTAATGTAAGGCAGGCAAAAAAGTTGTTTCTGGACCTCATTCTTTCTGACAATGAAAATGTTAGAAGAAAACAACATCAAAATAAAGTGTTTGTGGGGGAATGGGCTCAGTGGGTGCCTGCATGTTGCCAACCACCACCGCCCCCTCAGTTTGGGAATGCCGTCCATAACAAGCAGGTGTTCTTAGACAGGTGTGGGGAACCAGTGGCACTCCAGGTGTTGCTTAACTGTACCATCCTTCAGCCCCAACAAGCATGGCCAGCGGGCAAGGATGTTGTGAGCTGGTAGTTTACCAACATCTGGAGGGCCAAAGTTAGCCCACACCTGGCGTGAGAAGAAGGAACTCTGAGTGTGGGACAGGATTGTGTGGGGAGAAGCTGACCTCCTGATAATGGTGTTTCTGCGGCCTGCCTGGAAGAGATGAGGGTAGGTTCAGAAAGATGTGGGTCTACAGTGAGCCAGTCCAGAGCTTCTGCTGTTGCATTCACACAACTCCAACCTCCTGCATCCTTTTCCTGCTCCATCATGTGCAAGTACTCCATGTACTGCTGTTTCCCATCTCACTTCTAGCACACACCAGTAGCAGCCACTGTGATGTGATGGATCAGGCAGGGCAGTTGCATGGGTGCTTGGTGGTCCTCCATACAGATAAACGGCAGAAATGCCAGCATTAGGAGGGTTGCTTCACCCCAAGACACTGGCTGCTACCGGTGCATGTGTGAATCAGGCCTGTCAAGGTACCATCAAGCCTCTTCTTAGATTCCTATTTAGAAATCCCCACACCGCTTGCTTCTCTCTTCTTTGCTTCCTAGTTCCTCCAGCTTCTTCTAGAAAGAATGGGCTCGTTTGCCCAATTGGATGTTTTGCTGAGACAGAGGAAAGTTGCAATGGCGGAAAAGTCTCATGCACAGATGCGGAAAATACTTGCATCAACGTAACAGGGATCTATGGCCCTAAGGAAGGTACTTAGCAGGGGAGGAAGAGGGATTGTGTGGGGTAGAGGGAACAGGTGGGAGGAGAATGCTGTCTCTGGAGCTTCCAGAGGTGGTCCAACCATGAGCCAAGATGAGATGGACACCTCAGGTGGCAGAGCGAGAGACCTGCTGCCCTGAACCTCAAGTAAGAGTCTTCCAGGGTGTTCTCTGTGTGCATTGTCCTTTGGTGCACTAAAATGTTTTGGGTGAGGGATTGAATCTGGGCTCCTTCACATAAGTCATTTTCAAATGAGTAGAACCTTGAGATGAGATTATCAAGCTAAATGTTTGAACGTTCAGATTGGCCAAATAAGGAAGTCTTGTATGAGTCAGAATTAGGTACATGTAAAGAAATAGAAGGCACATTTCATCATATGTGATGGACTTGTAGAGCAGCTAAAGGATTTTGGGAGATGATACGCAATGAGATGGAAAATATATATTAAGAGGACTCTCCCAAAAAGACCAGAAGCTTTTCTTCTAGCGATAATTGGACCAGGTGTACCAAAGAATCAAAGAATCAAAGACAAGACAGCTTTCAAGGAGGATCGGAAAATGTTTATAGATTATTTTTAAAATATTGTAAACATGTTAAAATGCTAGCAGGTTTGGAGTAAGCTCACAGCAAAAGTTTTTTTGAGAATAAGGTGGAGAAAAAAAGGTATAGAATCATTATAATATGCAGCAGCAAAAGATAATTTGAGAAAACCAAGGAAGGGTGGAAGGGAAGTTGATTACCAAGGGAATATTGGAAAATTTTTCACTAGTTGTATTTTATTTTTCGAAATTTATAAATAAAATTTATAAACAAACAAACAAACGAATAAACATTCTTTGCCTAGTACACAGTTAAATGATGGGATTCGATCTTATAAGACATAGTGATGATGGCCACCATGTTGGATGATTTTCAAAAAGTATTGGACAGATTCATGGAGGATAAGACTGTCAATGACTATTAACCATGTCTACTTGCAGATTCCAAGTCATTTGTCATGAAGGGTTGTGGAACAAGCAACGTGGGTGAACTCTATAGCCTAATCGGGTTCATTAACGGAACCTACTACCAAATGCGAACCGCAGTATGGAAGTCTGCTAAATCCTCCAGCACCAAGCATATCCTGGGGAAGAGTTCCTTCCTCCTCCTGCTACCCAGTATCTCCAGCATTCTCTTTATGAAGTTTCTCTCCTGAGTTTTATTCCCATACCAGCCAACTTGTAGGATCCATGCCGTGAGCTTTTGGGCACCGGAATGGACAAATCTGTCAAGATCAGTGCTCTTAAGTTTCTCATTTTAAAATAATCTTAAATTCAATTCTCCACAATACTAGAGCAATCCGCATTTTTTTTATTAAAAAAACACTATTGAAAATCCACCCACATTTTAGCATCAATTTCTCCTAATAAACACAATTTGTAATTGCAGTTTGACTAGAGTTTTGCTAGGATTCCCCCCCCAAAATGCATTTGTACGTATGTTATTATCACCGAAATATGCACTTCTGGCACTTCCCCGACATAAATGCATTTTTGTATACACTGTTTGGTTTATGAACTACATTGCAAAATTCTGAGAAACGGGATATTTGAAAGCTGAGTTTTAGTTTACATATTGATCTGGGAAGTGCAAACGAGTTAGTTTCTCATTAATATGCAGACAAAATTGAATTTCTTCCTCAACCCAACTTGGGGACAAAACCACAATGCCTCCCCATCCTCCTCCAGGTTTCTTTTCAGGGTTCCCAACTGTTTTCTGAATGAAATATTGCATGCCCAATAAAGAATATTCAGTCCAAAAACGGTTATATTTACTTCTCCCAGATGACTGTCAATAAGAGTTTAAGGAAGGCTTTAGCACTAAGGGGAGGTCCCAGTCAGAGGCTTCGTGCATGGCTGGGTGGGGTGGCGCAGGTGAGGCTACAGAGGAGATAGTTGTGTTTCTTCCTAATGTAACTTTGTATTGATTCAAAAAGTGATTTGGTCAGTCTGGGGCAAAGCAACACTCCTTAGGTTTGTCCAAGATTATTGTATATAAAAAAAGAGATGAACTTCAATTAAAACAAATGAAGAAACTAAAACCCAAAATCAGAAACAAGCCTCACTACCATTCCAGCCACGCCTAAGTTCCTAGCCATATCTCCATTTTGTCAAGCAAGAAGCCTGAGCACAGCTCAAGGACATAAACCAGAGAGTGGAGCCCAGCTGGTGAACAGTAGCAGATTCAGAAGTGTTGGGTTCCTTCATAGTAGGCACCAGTGAGAATGTCCTGTGTGAGTGCATGGAGGCGGTTGGATGATGGATGGTGGTCAAGGGATTGAGGTTGAACCCAGACAAGACAGAAGCACTGTGTGTGAGAGTGTTTATGGGAGGAGTTAAGGGCTCCAAGTCTGGAATCTAAAGAGACAGAGCAGCTAGGGGAGAGAAAATAAGCAGGACTCCAACTTTCTCACTTTTAAAACCTGCCAAGATTTTGAGGCCTTCAAGCAATCCATAAACTCAGAAACCATCAAAGCACCAATCAGCTTTTGCAAAATGCTGCGCCTTTGCCTTCCATGTTTGAATTCATACCATATGGGCAAAAATGGATCACCTGACCTCATGGGGAAATCAGCTGATTTATCATTGGGCAGCACACCCATCCACCCGCCATCAAAGTTGGCCCATTCTCCTTATCTAGTTTCCCAACCCTGCAATAAATTCAATTAGAGAGAGAGAGAGAAATATCATCTCAGTACCTATAGACAGGGATGAAGACCCTATGCTGCCCCCTCTTGATTTTGCTGAACTACACCTCCCACAATTCCTTACTGTTTCAAGCTGGCTGGGGCTGATAGCGACTGGATTTCAGCAAGACTTGGATGGCCAGCTCTGCTGTGGACTGATAAGCAGAAGCTGGAAGAGCAAACTGCTGATCTCATAATCATGTCAGACAATAGGTGTTCTAAGCCTCCACAGTTGCTGGGTTTATGCACCTGAAAACTCTAAGAAGCTGCAGCAATGATTCTTGCTCTTCTGCCTAATGTCACTGAAGCTTCTACGAGTCGAAGAGGCTGAGTGGGCACCTATGGGGTAATGCGATCCTGCAAGTAACTCGGTCCCAAGCTGTTAAGGGCTTTATATACATATGAAGGCTGTGGTCATACAGCTGTTTATTCCATTTCCCCAACGTTTCCCTAACTGTTGATTTCCCCATTATCTCTGGCAAGTCACATGACATAAAAGCCATTTGCAGAAAACTAATGGAATATAGTACATATTTGGAACTCATTTCCATGTTATTTGATTCCGGAAAAAATATCAGTTTGCAGCTCACTTAACCTGGAAATTCATGGGAGTAAAGTCATGAAATTTGGGGTGGTTAGATCAGCATACAGTCCTTTCCTGCTATTTCTATGGGGGTCTCATGGGGGAGCAGAAGCATACATGTGTGGAAAGGGTGGGTAAGCAACAACAACGTCCAATAATGTTTGTTGCTGTGTCATGCCCATTGCGGCAAAAGAAATTTAGCATGTCCAGGACATAGGAGCCAACTCCTAGGGCCCCCTACAATAAAACATTTGAGAGTCTGCCCCCCCCCAAGTTGAAGGGCATTCCCATTCAAATGGTATGTGTGCACTGAGTCATGTGATTGATTATGTGGGGCGGGGCCCACACAATATTTTATTCAAGTTGGCACCCCTGGTCCAGAATATTGGTCAACAAGCCATAGTTCCGCAACACAACAGGTATTGCAGTATGAAATGAATGTTAGGAAACAGGACAGAAGCACTAGCATTATATTCAGGAAAACAAACACATCTTAAGAGTAACACCTTTAATTTGGCCCCATAACATATTGACAATCAGAGAGCACTTTTGGGTAGATGTGTAATATGACGATAGGGTCTCGCTCCTATCAGCTGTTGTGCTGTCACGTTCTATGCTCGCTACAGTTTTCCGACCAAGCACAAGGAAAGTTCCACATGTCCATGGCCAGCAAGCACATATTTGTTGCTGGTCACTCTCCCCCATTTATCTTTGGAGCCCAGTTGGACCACGAGCCAAATCCCCCCACAGCTGGACTGGAATAGAGATCCCTGATGTAGCTGACATCTGAGCTCGAGTTTCCCTTTCTCTTTTCATGTGTTCCCAAGGCCATGCAGACGTCTCTGATCGTCTACCTCTTCATTCTCCTGCCTGTTACAGGTAGGTCAGTAGGACTTAACTCCTTAGGCCAGGGGCAGCCAGTGTAATGCATTCCAGGCACTGTTGGATTCCAGCTCCCATGAGCCCCAGCCCATTGATGAAGGATGATGGGAGTTGAACAGTATCTGGAGGCCATAACGTTGGCTACTCTTGCTGCCTTACACCATGTTAGATTATTTGCCTATCTAATTTGATATTATTTACTCCTGCCTTTGCCAATAGCTCCCAACAGATGGGAGTTGTAGTACAAACTGTGGGGTAACCAGCCTCATATAAGCAACATGCTTATGTCTAATTAATGTATGAAGGGCTTAATGTCATAGAGTAAACTGGTCTGCAAGGCTTAGTTAGGCCACTCCCTCTCACCTTGGGAGGAAGGCAATCAAAGGCCTTTGTTTACTTCAATCTACCAGAGAAGTTCAATGAGTGAAGAGGTTTTGAGCTGGTTGCTACAGTTCAGGCCACATGGCTCTTACAAGCCATTGTTGTGTTTGTATACCAATAATTTAGGAACTTTCACCACTGTAACTGTAGTGGTTCAAGGGGTTGCTCATGCGTAAGCCGGTGCCCACACCTGGCTGGGTTGCCTAAGTGAACCTTTTCTGTCCGGACAGCCACTCACCCGTGGCTGTCTCAATCGCTGGCAGAATCCGTCAGTGGGCGTTTCTTAAACTTCTTCCAGCAAAGACGTTCTTTCACGCCCAGTCGCCTCCTACTTTCCCCGCGCGGAAGCCTTCAGCGCAAGGAAGGCTTAGGCAGCGGAGGACCCTTCCTCCCCCCACTGGTCCCAGGCAAGGAGTCATGTGACTCCCTCTCAGATTCCCCCATCTGCCCCCCTTCTCCACTGGAGCTGAGCTGATTCCCTTCCCCAGAAGATGGGCTGCCTCTCCCAATCCCGTGACGCTCTCTGGGATCCCTCTGGAGCTCTCTCTCTCCCTCCGCCACTGATGGCAGTTCCCTGACATCCACCTCCTCCTCAGGACCCCTCCCACCCCCGGCACCCTTTTCCGACACAACCTCCTCTCTCTCCTCGGCCGACGATGCGGGGAACCCCCTGAAAGAGCTATCATCCTCTTCTGAGGATTCAAAACGAGCCTCCTATCCGCTGGGATCTCTTCCCACTGGTTGAACGTCCCCGTCTGATTCTTCTCCCTCGGACACCTCCTCTCCCTCCTCTTCTGAGGCAGGAAAACCCACAAAGTCCCCTTCGTCGTCTGTGGGTCCAAATTCTTCCTCCCAAAATCTAGCTAATGGTTTGGGCTTATCCGGGAACAAACTGTGGAATTCTTCCACCAGATACTAGTCGGTGATTGATTCAGCCGGGACCCACGTGTTTTCCGACCGGGGTTCCCCCTCCCAGGCTACCAAGTACTCTACCTGGCGACCTCGCCACCTTGAATCAAGTATTTCTGTGGCTTCGTTACAGTGTTCCCTCTCTTCGACCCGCGGGTGGGTGGTGACCCCTTGCTCCCGTCCCGGGAATTCCCGCCCCTCCCTGTACGGTGAAAGTAGGGACCTGTGGAACACCAGATGTATCTTCATGCTGTCCAGGCAGCTTGAGTTTAAATGCCACTGGGTTCACTCTGCTGCCTACCTCAAAGGCCCCAGCCGCCTAGGCTGCAACTTCTTGCACCCTCCCTTTAGGGGCAACCCTTGGGATGACAACCACACCCGGTCTCCCACCCATATAGCCTCCCCCTTCCGACGGTGCCTGTCCGCCTGCCTCTTATAAACTTCCTTGGCCTGCTCTAAGTTCAGCCTGAGTTGCTGGTGTAAGGCCTCCATTTCCTCCACAAATTGCTCAGCCGCAGGTACACTCCATCCTTCCTCCCCACGCCCCGGGAATGCCCTGGGGTGACACCCGTAATTGGCCATGAAAGGGCTCATTCCCGTGGACACATGTTCAGCGTTATTGTACGCAAATTCAGCCAAAGCTAATTTCTCTACCCAATCGTTCTGTCTCTCGCTGACATATGCAGCGTAGGTGTGTGCTGGAGTACGCCGTTCGCTCTTTCGGCTTGTCCGTTGGTTTCCGGGTGCCTCGCCGTCGAGAAGCTCACCTCGACCTGTAGCAAGCTCATGAGTTTCCGCCAGAACCGGGAAGTAAATTGTTTCCCGCGATCCAAGATTACCCTCACTGGATCTCCATGCAGTCTGAAAATGTGATCCACAAACAGTCTGGCTGTCTCCTCTGCCGTTGCTGCATGTGAGCACGCTACGAAATGGCACATTTTTGTCAGTAGATCGACTACTACCATGACCGCTGTCTTTCCCCTCGACTTGGGCAGATCTGTCATAAAATCAATGGACACCACCTCCCAGGGCCTTTCCGATGTGGGTAAGGGTTCCAGTAACCCTGGGGGGGCAGCCCTTCCCCGCTTTGCCCTCTGGCATCGGTCGCACCCCCGTACATATTCTCTTACGTCTTCCCTCACCTTTGGCCACCAGAACTGCCTGGTGACAAGTAACATGGTCTTGTGCTGTCCAAAGTGCCCAGCTGTTGGGTTGTCATGGAGTTGTTTAAGTACCTTCCCCCTCAAAGTCTCCCCCGGTACATACAGCGCCCCCTTATAGTACAATAGCCCTTCCTTTTCCTCGAACCCTCCATTGACTTCCCTTCCATCCCTGAGTTCCCTGATTTTCGCCTGAGCAAACTCATCGTGCCTGGTGAGCCCTGCCAGTTCCCGTTTCCCAACCAACGCTCCCCCCCCCCACACCGATCCTCGGGCAACACGTGCCTGGTCTCTGGGGGCCCCTCTCCTTCCATGTACTCCGGTTTCCGGGAGAGAGCATCTGCCCTTACGTTTTCCTCTCCCGGCACATATCGGATCTCGAAGAAAAACTTGGCGAACTCCTGGGACCATCTGATCTGTCTCTGGTTGAGCACTCGCGCGGTCCGCCAGTATTCCAAGTTCTTGTGGTCAGTTCTGACCTGGATCTTGTGCTGCGCCCCTATCAATAGATGTCTCCATTGCCGAAATGCCGCATAGATGGCAAGCAGCTCGCGGTCATACACTGTGTAGTTTTGTTCTGACTTGCTCAGCTTCCTTGAGAAAAAGGCACACGGCATCCAGTTCTGCTTGTCCCCGGGCTGCAAAAGGACCGCTCCAATGGCGCGGTCGGAAGCGTCCGTCTCCAGCCTCATGGGCTTCTCCGGATCCCAGTGCAGGAGCTGTTCTTCCGAGGCAAACGCCCTCTTCAGTTTTTCAAAGGATTGCTGCGCTCCCTCTGTCCACACAAACGTCTTTTTGCTACTAAGACAATCCGTTATGGGCGCTGTCAAGTGAGCGAAGTTCCTTATGAACTTCCTATAGAAGTTGCTGAAGCCTGGGAACCTTTGCACATCCTTCCTGTTTTGGGGGGCTTTCCATTCCAGCACTGCCTTTACCTTGCCCAGATCCATGGCTAGTCCCTTGTCTGACAGCCTGTATCCCAGGAACTCGACCTCTCTGGCGTGGAATTGGCATTTTTCCAGCTTGACCCACAACTGATGCTTCTTCAATCTCTGTAGCACCTCCCTGACGTCTCTGATGTGTTGCCTTTCATCGTCCGAATAGATTAAGACTTCATCCAAAAAGGCTACGCAATTCTTGTACAGCAGGGGCCCCAACACATGGTGCATGAAGGCTTGAAAGCAGGCTGAGCCCGATTGTAATCCAAATGGCATCACTAAGTACTCAAAAAGCCCCCAGGGAGTGAACATGGTCGTTTTCCATTCGTCCCCCTCCCTTATCCTGATCAGATTGTATGCCCCCTGAGGTCCAGCTTGGTAAAAATCTTTCCCTGCCTCACCCGTGTCAAAATATCGTCAATCCTGGGCATTGGGAAAGTCACGGGTTCTGACACCAGGTTTAGGGCCCGGTAATCCACGACTAATCTAGGCTGATTAGTCTCTTTCTTGTCCACAAAGAACACTGGACTGCCCCCCACCGCCTTAGATTCCCTTATGAAACCTCTCTTCAGGTTCTTGTCAATAAACTGCCGCAGCTCCTGCATCTCCTGGTCGGACATGGCATACAGCTTACCCACTGGTAACTGAGCCCCTGGAAGCAGGTTGATTTGGCAGTCAAAGGGCCTGTGGGGGGGGGTAGTTTGTCTGCCTCCCTTTCACTGAAGACCTCCTTCAAATCAGCATATTGTGGTGGCACCTGCCCTTTTTGCTCCAGGGCCAACCCCGCCACCCTGGCTACAGTCATCCTTGGTTCCTTCCCTCCCAGACAGTGTTCTGAGCAGTAAGCTGACCCAAAAGTGACCGACCGCTGATGCCATGACACCACCGGGTCATGTAGTGCCAGCCAGCTCATTCCCAGTATTATTGGGGGTCCTGCCAGCGTGGCCACGTGAAAGGCAATGGTTTCTGTGTGCCTAGCAACCCTCATTCGCATTGGCGGTGTCTGGTGTGTCACTTCCCCTCCCAGGAGCTCCCTGCCATTGATGGTGGTCACCTGCAAGGGAAAATCTAGTGGCAACAGGTGGAGTTGGTGCTCCAGAGCGAAGTCTCTGCTGAAGAAATTACACGAGCTGCCAGAATCTAGCAGTCCCTCCACCTTGACGGGGTGCCCGTTTGGGAGTTCTAGCACCACCTCTATGGCTACCGCTGCCTTGGGGGGGTCAGGCTGGGGCACTTCTATTGGTTGCTGACCTGGCTGCTGGCCCCGCTGGTTGGCAGCCAGGCGTTGGCGTTTCCCTGCGCCTGCCCCTCCTCCCCCTTCTCGTCGTGGCCTGCAGCCCCCATCATGCCTTGCCAGGCGTTTCGTTGAGGGCAGACCTTTGCAAAATGTCCCGGTCGCTGACAGAGGAAACACTTCTTGGTAGTTTCCCACTCCTTTCCCTCCCTTTTCCTCCCTTCACCGGCGTTTGAAACTTCGCGCGCGCACGCTACATCAATTTCCATTGGCTCTGCCGCCTGGGAAGGCTCCCTCGGCATTTCAGGAATGCGGTTGTCATGGAAATGTTCCGCCCTTATCTCCCACTTCTGAGTCCGCGCTTCCTGGCGTACCCCGATCGCAAGCACAGTCTTTGTGAGTTCATCCATTGACTGCGGGCGGGGTGCTCGGGACAAGTCATCCTTCACTTCAGGGGATAAACCCCCCTCGAACAACATTTGCATAGGTTCAGAGCCGAGATCCCACCCAAGCTTGTGGACTAACATCGCGAACCACGACCAGTAGTTTCTGACGGACAGGCTCCCCTGCTTGCACCCCATCAGCTCCCGGCGCGTCACGCTTTGCTCAACCTCGCTGGAGTACATCGCGTCCATCGCCTGATAGAATTTCTTGAGATCTTTCAATGCATCATTCTGCGTTGCCATTAGGGGCCTGATCCATTCACGCGCTCCATCCTGCAGATGTCCCACAATGTAAGCCACCCTCTCCCCGTCATTGGCAAAGTCATCCTTCTGCAGTTCCAAAGCGTACTGGATTTCCGTTCGGAATGCATTGTAGTCCTGGGGCTTTCCACCAAATTTGTGTACCAGCCCCTGAACCTTCCTCCCTATCGGGGTGGCTCTGACCTGTGCATCCTGAGCCCGTCTCTCCTCCAGCCGCGCCGTCAGGGTAGCAGCATGCGCCTCCAGGTCTCGGTTCCTCTCTACCAGACCTCGCATCAAGGCTTCTTGCTCTGTTCCTCCGGCCGGCTCTGTTTGGCTCATCGTGCTGCCTCTCCGGTACTACACAAGCAACGTCAAGGACTGACGGATTGCTGTAGTGGTTCAAGGGGTTGCTCGTGCGTAAGCCGGTGCCCACACCTGGCTGGGTTGCTTAAGTGAAGCTTTTCTGTCCGGACAGCCACTCACCCGTGGCTGTCTCAATCGCTGGCAGAATCTGTAAGTGGCTGTTTCTTAAACTTCTTCCAGCAAAGAAGTTCTTTCACGCCCAGTCGCCTCCTACTTTCCCTGCATGGAAGCCTTCAGCGCAAGGAAGGCGTAGGCAGCGGAGGACCCGTCCTCCCCCCACTGGTCCCAGGCAAGGAGTCATGTGACTCCCTCTCAGATTCCCCCATCTGCCCCCCTTCTCCACTGGAGCTGAGCTGATTCCCTTCCCCAGAAGATGGGCTGCCTCTCCCAATCCCGTGACGCTCTCTGGGATCCCTCTGGAGCTCTCTCTCTCCCTCCGCCACTGATGGCAGTTCCCTGACAGTAACTAAGGCAGGTTTTACTGCCTGTGCAACGTTTTCTGAATGCTGTATGGAAAAGCACCATGAATATAACCTTTGGAGGGTTTGTAAGTAAACCATTTTAACTTACCAAATCTATGGTCTTTTTCTATGCTAGGGGAAGAGGTGAACTTTGGAAGGACCTTTGAAGGACACATTTTAAGGATCTAACAACCTTTATTTCCATGCTTTACTTTGCTACAAATTTTGTGATTTTATAGCTCTACTGGGGTTCACTCACCAAACAGCACTTGGCTGGATCTTGGCATCCAGGGAATTCTCCTCCATTTTGTGGTTTGTTATGACATTTTGTGGTTTACCCAGGGTGCCAAAACCAGATTCTCCAATTGTCCCTGTTTTTTAGGGACAGGCTCAGATTTACAGAAGCCACCCAAAGTTTCTGATTTGATCCTGGAATGTCTCGCTTTCCTTAGGACATCCCTATTTTCATTGGAGAAATGTTGGGGGGTATACAAAATGTCTTGGGCCAGCCCTGAATAAAGCTCACTTGCTACCACCTGACTGGAACTCAGCCCTTTATTTAATTCTGCCATTTCCTTTCCCTTCCAGGAGTTTGCTTGAACTGTGAACGCTGCAGCAGCAGCAACAGTGACTCGTGCATTGGGACACCCTATACCTGCCCACTATCTGAAGATGCCTGCCTTATCTTCACCTCGGAGAACATCGTTGGTGGGTGATTGTTTGGCCCTTTGCCAAGGTCTGGGCATGGCCACAGGCAAAAATGGGTAGTGCCTCTCTCTCGTGTGTGTGCATTTAAAAAGCAAATCAGGATATGAATGTCAAAAATAAATGAGTAAGTAAACAAAAATTAATGTACTCAGATTGACATTGCTGTTGATTTCTTTTTTGCCTTTCCTCCATGAAAAACCCCAGGAAATGACCGATGGTTCTCTACGTTCAAAGGCTGCACCAAGAAAAAGTTCTGCCCTCCGACGCCCATGGGCTTCACTTTCCCAAACCAGCGCAAACGGAGAGCTGCCAAGTGTTGCCACAAAGATCTCTGCAATGCTGGATCAGTGACACGTAAGCACCTTGGCAGGACTTTTCCAAGCTCTTCCTCTTCGATGGGGTGATTCGCGTCACCAAACTGCAGCCCAAGCATTGCTCCAAGGGGCATTGGTTGCTCCTGGGAAACATTGCCATGGAGAATTGTGAACCAATCTCAACCAGCAGCCATGATTTGTAACACGCTTCATTGCAATGGCAGTAGTGACCTCTGAGAACATCTAGTATGAACTAGGTCACATTTAAAGCACATGTCTCCCCACCTCAAAGAATCTAGGGAACTGTAGTTTGCAAAGAGTGCCAGGGATGGTAGCTCCATGATGGGTTAAGGATGGTTCCCAGGATTCTTTGGGGGAAGCCATATGCTTGTGAATAGTGAGAATATGTCCCTAGAGTAAAGCCATTAGGTTTGCCATATTTCAAAAAGTGAAAATCTGGACAGAAAAGTTGGTGAGCTTTCTCCCCTCTGTTTTTTTCCTTCAAAGTTGTTAAGCTCTGAATGAGTTATTTTTAAGGGGAAATCGCTGGGTTAGCATACAGCCAGATTTCCCTGGATGTTTAGCTGATTTCTGACTGGACAGTTTTTGACAGTCACTTACCAGCTATGTCTGGGAAATTCTGGACACATGGCAACCCTAACAGCCATCATGTTCTCACCTTCAAAACCTGAGGGGTGGGGCTGTTTGTGTACGGCGGGAACAGGATTGCAACTCTACCTCCTTCCCAGACTTTTGGGTGTTAAGCTGGATGCATACAAATTTGTTTGTAAATATTCAATAAACCATTTCCATTCTTTTATAAAAAGTTTGTCATCTTGATTTCTTTTTCCCCAGGTCAGTTTAATCATTTCTGCATATTCCATAAGTTTTTGTATGCTTTCTTCTTTTGCTAGGAATTTTTATTCTTTCCATTTTGGGGCAAGCAACATTCTTGCTGCTGTAGTAGCATACATGAATAAGTTTCTGTACAGTTTGGGTAGTTCTCTTCCTATAATTCCCTTTTTTTTTACGGTAACCATTCTTAAGTTGGGAATAGAATAGTTGCTTTGGAAGATGGCGTTTCTAAGTGGTCCATGTTTCGCAAGCATACAGCTAGCAGGAGTGATCCCACTTGCCTTCTTTTGGTGTGTGTGAATGTGTGAATATGCTCACAGAGAGCCAGTGTGGTGTAGTGGTTTAAGAGCGGTAGTCTTGTAATCTGGGGAACCGGGTTCGCGTCTCCGCTCCTCCACATGCAGCTGCTGGGTGACCTTGGGCCAGTCACACTTCTCTGAAGTCTCTCAGCCCCACTCACCTCACAGAGTGTTTGTTGTGGGGGAGGAAGGGAAAGGAGAATGTTAGCCGCTTTGAGACTCCTTTGGGTAGTGATAAAGCGGGATATCAAATCCAAACTCCTCCTCCTCCTCACAGCTATGACACATTGAAGCTGAACATTGGCAGGTTGAGGACAGATACAAGGAAGCACTTCTTAATGTAAGCACATAGTTAAACCGTGGAACTCAATCCTAGGGTAGGCAGTGATGGCCTCCAGTTTTAAAAGAGGATATAGACAAATTCATGGAGGATAAGGCTATCTGTGGCTACTAGCCACAATGGCTACACTCTTCCTCCATACTCTAGTGTTCAGTGGAGGCGGGGAGGGCAGATTGTATGCCTGTGCCCCCTTCTAATTCCTGGATCCAGCACAAATTCAATTCCTGGAACAACCTGCCTAGCTTCCGGCTTGAGGTCATGGCCTTCTAAGTATGGGCTGCTTAGGGAAGGTGGTTCTGTGCTGGACAATAAATAGTTGGGTCCCCCTCCCTTGACTTGTTGGTAGTTAGAAAGACAAATGGCAGAGGGCAGAGTTGTGTGAGAGCTAGAAGCTGGAAGCAAAGTTGCAGGCTGGGAAGCCAGAGAGACAGAGCCATGCCTGGTTTCTGCTTCAATCCAAGGCTGTGGCAATGGGAGAAGCAAGACCCTCTTGGCATGTTAGTGCTATGAATCCCTCCATCATAGGCTCAGGTTGTATATATGTGCAAAAAAACAACAACCCATATACCATAAAGGCACCACTGTCTCTGCTGCCCATTATTCCAAAGGAAACGTGAACCCTGGGTGAGAGCACTGGAATCTTGCACCACTGGGAGATTGGTGTGGCATCATAGGTGCCAGGGCCCTGGGGCCCTGGGTGCCCGAGGGCTCACAGAATTCCCTATGAAGGGGGAACAAAGTTGGGTGGTTGCTCCTTTGGTGAAATGTTTGAGGATTATGACAGAAGCCCAAAGGGGAATGACTGGAGGATGGGTAACTATCTAAAATCTGAAAATGGATCTGAGATGAGGTGTTTCTTCCCTGTTTCTGTGCTTGCTCTCAGTGCCACGGCTAGGGGCCAGGCCAAATGGCTTACAGTGTCCTGGATGCTTCTCACAGAATCCAAGGTGCCGCCCCACAGAAACATTAAACTGCCACGGCTGGGAGCGCAAATGTGTCTACTATGATGTTTCCGTACAACAGGGTAAGGCCGCATTCAGACAGCTCTTTATTCCATTTTCCTGATGTTTGATTACCTGATAACTTTCACGTTTTATGCAATCTTTCACACGATTTCACTTTGGGAAATCTAGCAGAACCGAGTGGAATTTTAATGCCCATTTCCATGCCAATTGCTCAGCTTAAACCAAATCAACATTCTTTCAATTCCTGCAGGTGATGAGATATACACTTATGCCAAACGTGGCTGTGGGACCAAACACGCCTGTGTGAGCGGGCCACGTACTCTCGGGATACCTGGATTGTACGTAGAAATTTGGAAGAACGCCATGTGCACTCCAGCTGTCAAATACATGCACTAGCAAGTTGCTAGGCCCTCAGAACATAAATATGTTTTGAAACATCTCTTCAGCTTCCTGGAAGATAAGACGAGGTTAAAAAGAAATGAATCCAGGCATCATTATTAACAGGCAATTTCCATTTCCACTAATCCTATGCAATTTTATACCTTGAATATTTTTCTTTGCCAGTGAATAAAATCATGTCAAGAGTGAAGAAGTTTCTGTTTCTTTGAAGTTCCTGGGATGGCTCTAAATCACTGCATGCCCCTTTTTCATGGTTAACAGTAGCCTGTGTTTCGAAACTCACTGCAACAGGCACTTTTGTGCAAGCCAGAAATGCCCATCATTTCTACATTGCCATTCTGTAAGTCAGGCATGGGGAATCTTCGTCCCAGATCTGAACTGCCATGTGCAGCAGTTTCGCTCGCAAGGCCATGTTCTTCAAACCACACCCATCTGCTCCACACCTGATGTTATATGTGATGTCAGGTGTGTGGAAGGTGCAGATGTGGCTGGGTTGGCTGTGTGACCAAGTACTCCAAGGGAAGCTATATAGTGCAGCCAGTCCCTGCAGAAAGTAAGGTTGAAGTCATTACCCATCAGGAGGGGGTGCTCACATGGGACCACAAGAGCCCCAAAGGGTTCCCTACACCTGTCCTAAGTTTATTCATGCTTATTGATACTCTTCCTGGCTTTCAAAAATTATTGCGCTTTGCAAAATGGTATGTATCCCCTTTTAATCATCCAGTCTTATGCGAGCAAGAGACAGCAGGGAGATAAGTCACAGTCTTGGTATAAAGTCAGTGTTGGGCTAGTAACTGGTACAGCCAGCCAGAAAAAGGACATTCGTTTAGTTATGTCATTTGCCATGAACACGTTAATGAGTTGCTTGATAACAGTGCTCCCTGGGCAGCTCAGAGAATCAGCAAAGCATGAAAGCACATGATTCAGCCTTAAAGCAATGAAGACACAGATTTAAATGTAATTAAAATGATGGGTCTTTAAAGTTCTGGGGGAATTAATAAAGCTAGCTCAGTGGTAGATCACCTACTTGGCATGTAGACAGCATCAGAGTGTCCAATCCTTTCACCCCATGGATGCAGTGAATGCCTGGAACAAACATCATTTGGAAACCAGCCCATTGGCCCCAGCCCCAGAAGCCTGAGAAGTGACCATTCATTTGCCTTTGCATGTCGTTATGGCCACCAAGCCCAGAACAGGTGCTGGTTTCACCTGGTGATTTATCTCCTATGGAGTCTGATGGAGCAGGAACTGTTCCACACAGCCCATTCTCCTTGCATACCCCACCTTCCAACCCTGTCCAGCCCTGGAGCTATAAATCCCCATCAGCCAGGCTAAGCCAGTCACCCCTCATGCAACTGCCATCTCAGCTCCACACTTCCTCTCCCTCCTTTGCGGGGTCCCAAGACCATGCAGACACCTCTGATCTCCTACTTCTTCTCCATCCTGTTTGCCACAGGTAAGGGCACAAAGAATCGCGATGGCTATGGGTTGCATCCAATTAAGTTCTACTTAAAGTTGTTGTTGTTGTTTAGTCGTTTAGTCATGTCCGACTCTTCGTGACCCCATGGACCAGAGCACGCTAGGCACTCCTGTCTTCCACTGCCTCCCACAGTTTTGTCAAACTCATGTTTGTATCTTCGAGAACACTGTCCAACCATCTTGTCCTCTGTCGTCCCCTTCTCCTTGTGCCCTCCATCTTTCCCAGCCTCAGGGTCTTTTCCAGGGAGTCTTCTCTTCTCATGAGGTGGCCAAAGTACTGGAGCCTCAGCTTCATGATCTGTCCTTCCAGTGAGCTCTCAGTGTTGATTTCCTTAAGAATGGATAGGTTTGATCTTCTTGCAGTCCATGGGACTCTCAAGAGTCTCCTCCAGCACCATAATTCAAAAGCATCAATTCTTCGGCGATCAGCCTTCTTTATGGTCCAGCTCTCACTTCCATGCATCACTACTGGGGAAACCATAGCTTTAACTATACGGACCTTTGTTGGCAAGGTGATGTCTCTGCTTTTTAAAGTCTACTTAAAGTAGACCCATTGAAATGAAGGGAGCTGAGCTAGACATGCCCACTCATTTCAGAATCAGAATAAAGTGAGAGTAAGAAAAAAACTAATCTAAATTAAAGAGAGAGAGAACAAAACAAAACAAAACACAAAACAAAACAAAACAAAAAACACAAAACAAAACAAAACAAAACAAAACACAAAACACAAAACAAAACAAAACAAAACAAAACAAAACAAAACAAAACAAAACAAAACACCACACAGAGTGCTTTCTGAAAGGTAGCTCTACACTCTTGGCTCACACAGAAAGTTGTGAACCCTCCCAGCTCTCACCTGGGAGCTTTCCTTTCTTCTCCCAGCCTCTCAGGAGATCTTCCTTTCCCTGCCTCTCACTCAGGGTCCTTCCAGTGGGTTGTTGGTGTTGTTGTAATTTATACCCCTCTCCTCCTCCAGAAGGAGCCCAGGACAGCAAACGCATCCAAAACAAAACATGCATTTTTATTTTCATTTTAAGATGAATTGCCAATGGATTATTGCCACTTGTTATTGTGAAAATTAACACCAGATTTGCCCAGTTCCACCTGTCTCCTCCAATATTTGTTTGCCAAAATGGACGCAGTGCTTGACTGTAGTAATATTAAAAATTAAAATGATCAATGAAGCAGTTAAGAACAATTTAAACATTTTAAAATAATTGAAATCAACTGTAAAAGTGATGGAAATGTGCGACTGACAGTCACATTTCCCTTTTGCTTGTCCACTGCATTAATGAGTCACCCACCCCACCTTTTGCCATGCTGCTTTTTCGCAAAGAGTGGGTGATGCTGGAAGCAACAGGAGAAGAAATAAAGAAGAAGAAGAAGCAAAAGAATTTGAGGAAGGGTGGTCTGCAGCAGAGAAGCATTTGAAGCCTGGGCTCGTTTGTCCTCCCCTAGCAATAAATATGCCTGAATTGCTTCCCCACCACACCCATGACTCATTCCAGTGCCTCTTTGTTGGGCAAAAGATTCCTGCATTGCAGGAGATTGGACTAGATGATCCCTGGACCCTGAGGTCCCTTCCAACTCTACAATTCTATGGTTCTGTTTACCCATAGCCTTTTATATACTAACCTCTTAGGCTCTTCCACATCCATTTACTGCTCCTAATCCTTCTTTTAGATTCCTATTTAATAATTTTAGTTGTTTCAATAATTTTAGCTTTCCAAAATGTTTTACAGATTTTAAATGATTGTTCCCCACCCTACTATGCTGGTCTATGACCGTAATAAAGATTTGATTGATTGATATGATTCTGTGATTCCTTCCAGGTCTTTGCTTGCATTGTGAGCACTGCAGCAGCAACACGGACTCCTGCACTGGGATGCCAGTACTGTGTGAACAATCCCATACTGCCTGCCTCACCCTTACCATAGAGACCACAACGGGTGGGTGAATGCATTCATTCATTCATTTTTTTGCATTGATATTGGGTTTTTTTCTTCTGTTATAGTGCCCAAGGTGGGGTACATGTGTGCTTTATATGCAGTACAACAACTTGGAGATGCCAAGATCAAGACTTGCTTAGCTTCAGCAAGGAAGTAGCTTTGTATGCTTTCAGATCATTTCCGGGATTTGCTTCCTAGGGAGCCGTGTTTTCCCAAGCAGTGAAATGCTGTGTTATGTGTGTGTGTGTGTGTCTGAACTTTTGGTAGGATGAGGGTTAAGCAGTGATGTAGGAGTGGGGGGTAGAAATTTGGTTCATTTTGCATTTACAGGCAAATCCCTCCTTTCTGAACCAATACATGAACTGGAACGTAGCCATCCTTCAAACTCTGAATTTTGCAGTGCAGTTCTCTAGCCAAGTAATTGTACAGAAATGCATACGGTGTGGCAAAGTGTGCTTTAAATGCATGCGTTTGTGAAAGTGTCATACAAAATGCATTATATTGGGGGGAACAGTTTTGCAAAAATGTGCATACATTAGTCACAATTGCATACAAAGATAGGTGCATTCGGGAAGTTCACACAAAAATGTTGAATATTCGCGGGAATGTTTGCTCTCTCTCTCAAATGTGTAAACGTGGAGAACTGAACTTAGGCTGAACAAATGAGACGCTAAGAGAATACAAAATTCACAGATTCCCCTACCCCTAATGTCTCTATCATTTCCATTCTTTCGTTACCTGCTTTGGAGTTTGTATTTTTTAAAGTAGAATATATAGTGCAACGATAAATTACAAAACCAATGCATGTTGCTGGCTTTCCTCTGTGAAAACTGCAGGGCATGACGTGTCCTTGGCCACCTACAAAGGCTGCACCAAGCTCATGTACTGCCCTTCATCCCCATGAGCTTCACTTTTCCTAACCAGCGCGAACGGAGAGCTGCCAGAGTGCTGCCGCAAGGAATCTCTGCAACACTGGAGCAGTGACAAGTAAGCATCTCTTCCCAGCTTTTCGACTCTCCTAATCCTCTGCACTGATGTGTAGACACAGCTCAAGAGCATCTGCCTGGCCTGCAGAAGGTCTCAGGTTCAACCCCCAGCATCTCTAGATAGGGCTGGGCAAGACGCCTCTCTGAAACTAGGGAGAGCTGCTCGGTGTAGCCAGTACTGAGGTGGATGGACCAATGGTTTGACTCAGCATCAGACAGCTTCCTGTGTTCCTAAGATGGCTCTGAGTAATGGACAATGATGATAATTGCGGATACGTTGGCATGGAGAACGTCTGAAGGTGCGTCTCCACCACCATCGTTCCGCCCGGACACTGAGGTCCAGCTCCGAGGGCCTTCTGGTGGTTCCCTCCCTGTGAGAACCACCAGAGGGTCTTCTTGGTTGTGGCACCCGCCCTGTGGAATGCCTTCCCATCAGATGTCAAGGAAATAAACAACTATCTGACTTTTAGGAGACATCTGAAAGCAGCCCTGTTTAGAGTAGTTTTTAATGTTTGATGTTTTATTGTGTTTTTAATATTCTGTTTGGAGCCACCCAGAGTAGCTGGGGAAATCCACCCAGGTGGGCAGGGTATAAATAATAAGTTATTATTATTATTAAGAGCAGTGAACCAGTCTTTCCACAGGTACAGCAGCAGGATAGGAGTGGAGAACCTCAGGGTCAAATATGGACTTCAACTCCTCTTTGTCTGGCCCCCAGAACTTACAC